ACTGTTGAGATACATTTTTGGAATGTATACACTGCACATTGGCGGTACAGAAGGCACCAATCTTTTATAATCTCTTTGTTTTCATGCTGCCTTATAGTCTAATTAAAAAATATCAACTACAGATCTTTATCTCCACGAAATTATAGTTTTGCTGGCTTACTGTGAGATGGCATGCGAAAAAATAGAAAGTGCATCAGTGGAGCGAGAAAATTTGATGTCAAGGTGCCTTTAATGTGCCTCCTTGTAGGCGGCCTTGAGAGGGCTCATAGCATATTGCAGCATGTAACTGCAAAATGCAGCATGTAACTGCATTTTTTATTGCAGCATGTAACTGCATTTTCATATTCGATGCAGCTCTTTCTTGGGTCTATAAGTTAGCTCTGTGACGTACTTACTAGTTTGCTGTAGGTGCTTTACATGCCTTTTGCATATGTGCCAAGTTTTAAAACGAAAAGAAAAAAGAGAACATAAGATATTTGAAGTACCTTGTGTTCTTGCACTGTGCTTCATTACTGCTGCTTCCCCGCCACGGTGGTCTAGTGGCTAAGGTACTCGGCTGCTGACCCGCAGGTCGTGGGATCAAATCCCGGCTGTGGCGGCTGCATTTCCGATATAGGCGGAAATGTTGTCGGTACGTGTACTCAGATTTGGGTGCACGTTAAAGAACCCCAGATGGTAAAAATTTCCTGAGTCCTCCACTACGGCGTCTCTCATAATCAAATAGTGGTTTTGGGACGTTAAACCCCACAAATCAATCAAATCAATCAATCAATCATTACTGCTGCTTGCTCGTAAGGCATTCATCAAGTAGCCCACCGTGTCATGTATGTGGCACAACTGTGCAAGGGTGATATGATTCAAAAACACCTTTTGTGGCTTGTGGGTGGCCTACAATAATTCTGCCTGCCACACTTCGATTGTGCGCCTGGACCATTACAGTGTGATCCTTGCTCATTCATGCATGCCAAATTCGGTTGACTGTATGGAATGAAATGGAAGTTATGGTTTACAGACCCTGCGTGGTCACTTGTAGTTTCCAAAGTTGGTTCGCTGTACAGAGAAAAATGGAGCTGCTGTTCTGTGAATCAGCAGACTACTTCTTTACTAGCAGTCACCGAAATGGGAGCTGGTTTGGCTCTGCTAATGATGTGGTGTTCAATTCCAACGATGCAGTTGGCGTTCTTTTTTCTTTTTGAGCAAGAATGTATTCTAATGACAGAATGAGGGCAGGTTCAAGTGTTCCAATGAGAAAACATTGAGTGGATTCAGAGCAGGAATCACTCCACGGAGCAGGGAAAGTTGCTCCGCCTAAGTTGACTGAGTGGATTGAAGCGCTGCGAGGCACATTTCCTTGATTATGTTTGCCTGCTTGAGAGCGTTTGCCAGTGCCGGTATTTGTGGATGATGTGTGAATTGCTTTACAAGGCATATGGCATTGCTTCTGCTATTTGACAGTGAGATCTCGACAGTGTGAAAGCTCCAGGTGCAGCACAAGCAATTCATTGGATAATCTCACCAATGCTGAAACTGCCACTTGCGAGCGGGAATTTGACAGCGGAAAGGAATTAAGATTGAAATATCTTTGGCAACTTGGCACCTAAAAGACAGAATTTCTACTTCCACCTTGCTCCAACGGGGCAAGTTGCATTCCAATAGTTGATTTGGATGCGTGGCTCTTTGCCAGAATCAAGTGCTCGCTTATGGAGTGCGTCAGCCGTTAACTCGGCCATTGGAATTCAACTTGAGATATTCCATGACGGGCTGGGGTATCGTCATTGGGAATATTTTTTGTCCATTGTGGGATGAAGACCAGTTACATTGAATATGCAATTTAGCTTGTCTTGTGCGAGCTGATTCCGTTTTATGCCCCAAAATTTAACTTCATTACCCCACCAAACCAGCGGTATAGCCAGGGGGTGGTACACTGGGCCCTCCTTTCTTGAGAGTGATTCATGTCTTGTGACATGCGCTCTGAGAGAAGGATACGAAAAAGAGTATTGGAATAGTTGAACAGACAGCTTGTCTTTTCTGCTATAAGGGGACTATTGTTGTCGGGGAGGTAGATTTTTAGTTTTAATGTCAAAGATCAATACTGCCGTTTTGTTTTCTTTGCAGATTGCGGGATCCTCCATTTGTCTATTGCTAATTATTTGTTGCGAATTACGTTCATTACTTTCCTTTGCCAAAATAGTGGCATATATTGCATGTCAGTGAACTATATTTCTGATCAGGTTTTGGGAAATGAACACACTTAAATATATCTGTTGCACAAATTTGAGTCGCCATCTACGTTTCACTCATTCACTAATTGATTGATATGTGGGGTTTAACGTCCCAAAACCACGATATGATTATGAGAGTTTCGACTCATTCATTAGCTTATACACTTAGAAGGACCGACAACTGGGCAAGTCGGTATGAATTCATACCACTGAAACGGTACCACGAGGCAAGACAAATGCACACGAAACACAAATGAAACACAAAACACAAGTGCCGGCGCTTGTGTTTCGTCTTTCCTTTGCTTCGTGTGCATTCGTCTTATCTCGTGGCACCATTTCAGTAGTATAAGCTTATGCCAGGGGTGAGACAGCTGCGCATATTGCGCATTTTTCATACATTTCCGTTTTCTTGTGTCAAGCTGCTCCGAAGCAACCTCGAAAGCTAGAATTTTGATACCAACCTCAGCGGGAAAAAAAAGGGCGTGTTTGACTATTAAGAAGCACCCTGTTGTACTTTTTTTTTTCACTTTGCACTTTTCTGGTGACAAAGGCTCCTATGGCTTTTATGGCCATAATTTTTAAACTTTTGCAAATATGCGGGACCCCATAAAAATGTGCTGCCGCGCATCGAGCTTGCTGCTTCTACTAGCTAGGCTGTGTGTTCTGGGGCCACTGTCGGCTAGTGAAAACCACCGAGTCGGGTGGCAAGCGTAGCGGGGTTGACTTTTCGGTTCTTCGTAGTGCGTTCTACCGGTCACTGTGGCTTTCATGTTGACGCGGCTGCGTGTGGTCACCTATGAATACGTGTTTGCCATCAGCGAGTAACTGTAAACGTGGAGTCATTTCCCTGCATCCGACGCATCTCCCGGATGTTCTGGCGCGTGCACATGGGTTCTCAAAATGGGTTTCGTGAGTGGCAGAACGTGTGCAACCCATTTGTGGTTTACACCCGTTAACTACTAATTTATTTAGACTGGCGAGTTCTCATTGCATTTTGCATTTTAAAAAGCCACCGCACGCGAAATCCGCACATCAGTGTCTGTAGGCAGAGAGAAACATTTGGTTACATGCGAAGCCATGGGGACAAAACGCGTGTTCAAACCATTGTAAACGGTATTATGGGCACCTCGGCGCTTTATTCGTGACCAATTACGCGTCGGCAATCACTTGGCACAGTTTTCATGTATGGCGATTTGCCACTGCTCTGTTTTGTAATCGAAACTCGCAACCAGTGCTTAAAGAGGCGTCGCTGCATGCGTGCCGGCACTGGGCTACACGAGCTTTAGGCTTATCTCGATCAGTGTTTCGGTCTGTGGCAGTGTGGCTTCGTTTTCTTTCTTTCCTTCTCTTTTTACAATAAAACCTGCCTCTCTATGTTCAGCGGTTTGTTTGCGTTGATGCGGATTTTTTACCTGCGCTGCCCGAGCACTTTATGCGAGTCGCGGAGTGGCGTGGGCAGCAGTCGCAAGCCGATGTATTATCGGGAGTTCTACATCGACGGTGATGACCTATAGATACTAAAAAAATATAGAACTGGCCAATTTGTGCTGTAATAATAACGCGTGGTTGCTCGTGTGGAGAGGCGTTATCATTATCACTCATCACTTGGTGCCATATGCACGCGCTTTACGAGATAGTCGATACGGTGAGGTTTCTTGGCTCTCGTGCTGCACTCTTGAAGGTGGGCCTGCAAGAGGTGGCCGCGAACGGCAGTGCAGCGTGCTTTTGTTGTCTGTTAAAAGCTCTTGAGGCTATCAAGCTAGGCTTTTATTTAAGCGATCGACCACTGTTACATTACCAAGATTCTTGTGCAATCAAATTTTTTAATTTCTTTTTGAGTGTGATGCTTTTTTTTTGTTTCTGGGAACCTAGCTTTCAATAAAACCTTTTTTTAATATTTCATATGTTACGAGGGCTGGATAAGTCACGTGGTATGCAAAAAGGTAGTGCAGTTCATACCTAGCGATAATCTGCTCAAGAACTTCCTTCAAAATCTGTTTCAGTGTAATGTGTATTATAAGCCAAATAAAATGTGCACTGGTGCCCCCACATTGCTAAAAATTGGTATTTTAAGCTACCAGGATAACCTATTAAAGGCCGCTAACTGCTCCAAAGCAGGGTTCTGCGCCAAAATTAAAATATCACTGCACCAAAAACTGTTCTCACTTTAGTTTCAGCCATCTCACCCCTGTTGTACACTTGGGTTATGTTCATATAGCTTTGGTACCTGAAACTAGCGATTCCAAATATTCGTAGCCATCTTGAAACTTTCTGCTTTTGAACACCCCTGGCTTTGATTAACCTCCCGTTGCGACATTGTGTGCGTATGGTAGCATGAGTTCAATTTATGATGGTGAAATTCAAGAACACCAGCATACTAAGATTTGTGTGCATGGTAAAGAACACAAAGTGGTTGAATACGGAGTAGTTCCAGTATGCAAAGTTGCATAATTTCTTTTGACTTTAGTATGTTTTAATAAGTGTGAAACTGGGAGATTGTTGTAGAGTGATCAACATACATTGGGCGTAATATCTTAATTTTCTGTTCTCTCTCTTTGGCATTTTTGTCAGTACCTTCATTTACAAATGATTTTTATATTACTGTGATATAAATACTTACATAATTATATTGACTATTGCCTTTTAGACAGAAGCTTGTAAGGCTCTAATGGAATGTTAAGGCCTATTTACATGGGCTGTGGAGGTGACGGGAGTTGCGAATTTCTGTTTGTACTGTTAGCTTGCAGCCATTGGTAACCAATGTTCTGCCTCTTTCAGGGCCCCACATGAGTCCAGGGGGTGAAGCATGCCAGACCTTGGCTCCAGATGGCAGCTGGGAGCAACGCTGGTGATATGAGAGAGTGACCAGCCACGGTGCCTTATGGCCGAATACCAGCTCCTGGGTGGGGATGGCTACGGCCAGGGCATGGAGGATGGCTCAGGCTCCTTAGCGGGCTATGGGGCAACCTCCCAGGACTTGGTCTCTCCCTTGATGGTGGCCAACCCAATGGGCAGCAGTGCTCCAAGCACCAGTCAAATGGCTCCTTATGGCCAGATACATCCGGGCTACCCGCAGCCTGCTGACCAGAAGATGCACTATGGAGCCTACAGTGCTGGCCATGTGGCGCAGGAGTACGGCACACGAGTGCATCCCATGGGGGAACAGCAGTCTGCGATGATGGGTGGTTATTCGCAACAGCCCATGGTTGGCCAGCGCATGCAAGGTTCTGACCAGTACCCTTATGGCACAATGGGAGCCGCACAACGCACTCAAGACATGTGGAGAGGACATTACATGAACTCGGGCACTGGCTACCAGCAGCAGCACACAACGGACATGAGTGCTCAGCACACCATGGCTGCAGCTGTTGGCACTCAACATCACAGGACTGGCCAGGCTCAGTATGGCCCAAATCAGGACTATTCACTACACACGCCACAGCAACATGGCTCTCCACAGAGGCCCTCATATGGTCCACAGGGCAATGGCCCCCACGTGGCTCAGCTGGCAAACAAGGCAGCAGCAACCACAACAACACACATGGCAGATCAGTCGATGGCATCATATCCGCAAACAACGTACCCATCAGCTCAAGCAGGAACCACTCGAGCCACCTATGGCACTGCGGGTGCCATAAGCCACTCTACAGTGGGCCAGAGCTTGCCCCAGGCAAGGACGCTTCAGCGGCCTGGAGGTTATGCCACCAGTGGCAACAGCAACCAAGCACCACTGCCCCAGAGCAGCCCTGCCCGTATGCAGCAATATCCACAATCAGCATATTCACCAGGGCACCCTTTTCCTGCTTCTGATGCCACCAGCCCATCGCACCTTTCTCCGTACCCGACACAGGCACCCAACAGCCCGCAGTATCGGGGCTCTTATCCTTCGCCACGTCGCCCCACCACAACGCCACCGGCAGGGTCCCCTAGTGTAGTGACCAGCCAGCAGTCATCCTCTCAGGGCAGCTACCCAAGCCCAGGGGCCACTCATCTTTCTAGTCCTGGGCAAGTGTTGTCCCCAGGCAGTGGAGCCACTGCCTCTGCTACACCTGTGGCGTCCAGCAGCCTTCAGCAGCTCGAGCAAATGGTGATGCCTCACATGGCTACTGCTAAGCCACCTTCTGCCACTACGAGTTCAACGGGCAGTTATTATGGTAGTGCAGTGCAGCAGTCGTATGGGCCGGCTCAGGCGCAGCAAGGCTTGGGTTATGGAGGAATGCCTTCCACAGCCCAACACCATGCATATCCAGGCCCAAATCTTATGACTCGGGCTCGGCCTCTTGCGGGCACACCAGAGGCTTCGACATTTGGCACAAGTGAAGTGGGACCTATGGCAGCCAATACATCTATGCCTACACGCAATGATTACCCAATGGGTGCCGCAGGTCCTGCACGAGCAGCACCTGTCTCTCCAGCCTCATATGCTGCTTATACGCAGCAGCAGCCAGTCTCCTCTCTTGGCTATGAGCAGGCACAGCAGCAACTGCAGCACTTGTATAGTGTGCCACAGACAGCCCAGACGCAGAAACGGGTAAGCCTATTGCTTAAATTGGCTTGTGACTTCACCTATTCAAACTAATTTGCTAGCTGTAAGTGCATGCGGGAGCAAGTACCAATAAGAGTGCATTGCATAGTTTGTATTGTACTGAAAACATTTGCCAGTTTGAATAATGCATAAAAAGTGCCATAGAATTAGCATGCTTCACTGTAGTTTCTATAGCTGTTAAAAAGCCTTGGTAATTTTGCATGGATTGAAGAATTAAAAGCTACTGTATACACAACTGCTTATTTGTTTACAAGACCAAGGTGTAGGAATAATGTGCTGGTGGCAGCATAAATGGAACTTTTGTAGTGGGGTAGAAAAAAAATTAAACCCTTGTGCCTAGAAGTACACTCAAAAGCTGTGACGTGAGCGTTTTGCTTCTTTTGCATTGTTAAAAATGAGGTTGTGTATTTTATGATAGGCTCAGCTTAAATCGATAGAGCCGAAATTCAAAAACACTTGTGCATCATGCATTTGAGTCTGCTAATTGGACTGTGGTTTTAGCATATACTATTTTGAAATCTTTTTTTTTTTTAATTTGATTTCATACATACTTGTAAGTTTCATTGCTGTGTGAGCTTAAGTCCCTGCATCTTTGCAGCAGTTATATTTCGACATGCCAGTGTGTTAGCACGATGTTCCCTTTCTGATACTAAGGCCTTCTACGACATTCTGCTGCAGCTATTCTGACCAAAACAAATTGTTGAGTCAGGCTGTCAAAGAAAAAAAAAAAAAAACAGATAATCTACTGTTGAAAGATGATATTTGTTAAATCTGTCTCCAGACAGATTCAACAAATTATGTAATATAGTAGTGCAAGTGGCAGGGGTAATGCTTTATTTTAATGGAGGGTTCTCCTGTTATTACAAGTAAAAAAAATGGGGGCTCAGACACAGTACAAGATGTAGCGAAGCAATTCTATCGTTTCATTGCCTCATGGTTGGCATAGTAAGTTGACAGGCCATCAAATTCTGCGAGAGGTCTTTTGCTTGCATATCAGAGGCATCTCGTGTGCGTTTATTTTTCATAGACCCAGTTGGTATGTTATTCTCGATATGTGTGCCTATGCTAAACTCTGTGGGAACTTAACATAGGAGCGAATGCTACGGAGGCAGGGTTTCACGGAGGCGGGATTTCTGCACATTTGTGGTTGCTCCACAAGTAATATGGCAGCTTGCGGCTAACTTTGGTTTTGTTCAATCGCATTGTTATCATGTTTAGAATTTTAATATACATGAAAATGTGAATGGGAGAAACATTTGGATGGTTCAGTGTACAGCCATGTTACGACTATTTTTCTTGGTTAGTTTGTTTGCGGCCACACACTGACCCATTACGTTATGGACACCATGTTAACTTTGGAAAACAGGTGGGCTGAAAAGGTGATGTGGCTGAGGAATAGAAAAGGAAGGCATTAGTGCAAAAGTTAATAATAACTGTATTTTACCAAAGAGTTCCCACAACTATTTGAGTCTCATGATAAATAAACAAGGGTTTATTTCAACAAAGCAAAATACAAAATTATCAGAAAACCTTAATACTATTTTGTGGTGCAGTAGCAGGCACATGCTTCAATTCTGTTGCTTCCACAGTGCTGTCAAGAATAGTTGTTGCCGAGTATAGTAATGATAATTGGATGAAATGAAGGTATTTTCGTGCTGAATTTGGCAGTTATAAGGTGGACTGGCTGTACGGTAATTACAGATTTAGGGCTAAGGATATACCACAAAATGAGATTTTGAAAGGATGTACCACAAAATGTGATATAAAAAAAACTCCTTTGTGAGCCATAATGAGCGTTCATGCTGGTTCCTAATATCCTCGAAAACCTTGAATCGGAATAGTTAATTTTAAAGGCCTTAAAGGTGCTGGAATGTTTTGCAAATGCTTGAAAATTCTTGCATTACCCTTCTTTTTTTAAATAAACATTGTCACACATTTCACTGCACATTATTTGAGATTTTGTATATGTAGCAAGTGCCAGACATAATGGGTGCATGTTGATGTAGCAGACAGGTGTAATGTGCCCATAACAAAAGAAGCCAACACCGTGCATTTTTGGAAACACGGTAAAAGCAGGAGCAGGAGGATAAGAAATGAAAAGGAAAAAGAAACTAGAAGGCACTCTTAAGGAATGAACAGCTACAGCAGACTCGTATGCAGAAAAGTCTGAGGCAACTAGCAACCAGACTTTCATCAAGTCAAACATCCTTAGGAAGACTGCCAAGACTAAGCAGCAGGAGACAGTGGACATTCATATCAAAATTTAAGGGTAGTGATCACTGAAAAACTGAAATTCAGGACTACTGAAAGAGGTTATTCAGACAACTCTAGAAAAAAAAAAATGCAGTTGCAGCCATGTTTTCGGTGCTTCCCTAAGTGACGTTGCCCTTTTTCGATGACTTCTAATTATTTCAAGCCTCTATCATCCCCTTGAATATGTTAATTTGGCTTCTGACAGACGATGTGGTTCTTGAAAAATTGATATATAGCCTTTAAAGTCCTTGAAAACCCTTGAATTTTTGTCAGGTAAATGAGCATGAAGCCTGGATAATATTAAATGTGGTGTGAAGATTCAGTGAGTAGTTCCTCTTCTTTGAAAGACAAGACTGAAATACATGAACTTACCTGCTGTGTTTGCATAACTGCCGCTGAATTGGATGCAGATATGCGATTCAAGGTCTTCTCCTTATGCGTATATCTTGTAAAAAATCCATCAACTGAGCAAATAGTTGAGTTGAGCTCTTCTAACTATGGCTGCAAGTGCCGATTGTGTTGCCTGTGTGCTCTGTGTCTTTGCTGATAGCATGTCACATTTTTTTACCATTAGTGGCACTCTTTACGGCACTGTGAGGTGCCATGCAAGGGATGCATTAAGCCCGTACATGATTAAACTGAATATTTATGAGTGTGCACAAGTAAATGTCTTTTGGGCTACTGTGTAGAGTGAGCTATTGCACCTGTTGCCTTTGTAGATATCGGAGCTCCAGGAGAGGCTGCGCATCCTTCAGCAGCAGCAGCAGCAGCAGTCTGCACTTCCTTCACCTTCTGCATCAACTGGTTCAGTGCCAGGAATGGGAGGTGCTATGGGAAATTCGATGGGCCCCATGGGTTCCCCATCTTCATTGGGCGCATACCCGACACAGTATTCTCAGGGAGCTGGCACTGGTGTGCCTACTGCGTCTGCTCCATACACTCAGCAGAGGCAGCAAATGCCTCAAGCTCCTGCACAGCCACCTCAGCAGCTGACTGCACAGCAGGTTAGAGGCAGCTCTATCCTTTGTCGTCCCATGTCTGATGAAAGAATGCAACACTATCATACGCAACATTAATCGTATCTGGTACATAGAACAAAAAACAAAAAGTTAGTTTTCAACACACTGTGGTTCCTGCAAAAGGTCCACACCACAGGCTAAAGCAAACTGGACATCAGAACAGCCATTTATTTGGTCAGAAATAATGCTAAAACTTAAAAAAAAAAGCTTCTAGTGATTAGCTGGTATTTATCAAATAGTTTTATTTATCGAATTAAAGAAAGGAAAAACTTCAGCCTGTAGTTCAAGTTCTGCAGAAAAAAAACGATACCAAGTTTGTTTAAATATGTTCATAGAAACTTCCTCAACATTTCTATAAGGCAGATTCACTTCCCAAAACTAACAAAGCCAACGAAATTGCGTTTCAAGTTTTAAAAACATTTGCAATTTAATCTGTTGAGCATGTAAGAAAAAGAAAGGGTATTTTGCCATAAAATAGATTTTTGAATACAATTTATATATATTGTTTGTGAGTTCAAATGGTCACAGTCACCAATATTTGCAGAAACTTGCACTGCCATAACCTATTGCTTCGTTTTGCGGGCTTACCAATGCGTTGCATACTATTTGCGGTGCAGTTTTATCCGTCTTCACTTTGCTGAAGTGTTGTGTTGGGATTCCGTTGAGAAATGTAATTTCTTTCATCAGAACATGATGGGCTTACTGTTGTAGTTTTGATATTGCTTTTAAAATTCATTGATGAATATCTAGTACTATATGCATCTTTTATGATTTCTAAAAGATAGTGTGTTCCATAAATTATCATGCACCGCAACTTTCTTATACAAACAACTCTTCTCAAGTAAATAATTATATAAAATAATTAGTTTTGTTAATTAGTCATGTCACAGTCATCTACAGCAAATGATTTTCCCCACGGCGTGAAGTTCATGTGCAAAAACAACAGGAGCCTTATGGTCATAGGATATTTATAAAAAGATATGTATTAAAAACGCCCTGTATAAGGATGTCTGAAGTTTTGGATGTCATGATGGACATCATGATGTGCGATTCTAGAACTTTCTGTCCTCATTTCAAGCCTGAAACAGCATTAATTAAAGCCTCCACTTCTGCCAGGTCTATCATTTTGTAGGTTTAAACGAGTGCTTTCACGAGTCAATCTCTTTGTGGACATAGCAACGTCTGAAAGGCAGCTTTGTTGCAATGCTCCACTGTTATGGGGTGAAGCAGGTCAAAAAGTTGAAGTGGCTGTTATCACGGCACACCGGAAATGCATTGAGCCATGATGGCAGCAGGCGGTAAGTGCACCAGTATGATTCAGTTGCTCACAACTCTTTATGATAAGCATCTTCAGGTAACTGCTTGGTAATGCATGTGGTTTAGTACAATTGTAAGCATAGTACAAAATTTTAATAATCGACAGCCTGAATGCGTTGTGCTGCCATTCATGTTGCCTCTTAGTGCAAAACCGCTAAGTGTATTGCACAGGTACATTGCCTTCACTAATGAAAAAAGCTCATCATCACTGTGCGGTCAGGAACGTTAGGGGCATCGCAAACACTTTTTAATGACAAATTTATTCATATGGTACAGCAAGCAGATGCGATGGTCATGGTGTCAGCTTAGTTAGCCATGTGCTGAACATAGCTTTGAACGATCAGCTTCATGCTGCTACAAATGCTGGGTGTCAGCGGAGATTTTTGTATAGTATTGCATCGTTTATCTGATCAAGGAAAGCGGGGGTAGTCACCTGCTCTTCTGCCGCATTTATTGTGTTCTGCGTCCTCATTTCCAAAGGCTCCATGCCAGAGAGTCTATTTAATCTGCACTTCGCTGTTGTTATCGGCAGTGTTCATCACGACATGCAACCATAGGCAGTTAGTATGTACAGTCGACTCCTCTTAAACGGAACTCGAAGGGTATCCATAAAACTGTTCTATTTATCAGAAGTTTAATTTAGGCAAAGTACACTTATTTAGTGAATCAAAACTTTTATTCAAATTGCACAAACCTCACCTTGCTCATAAGGATGAATAGGAGAAAAAAAAGGAGTGAAGGGTGGTTGGTTTGGCAAGCTTGAGTTGTTTTTTCACAAGGTACGCACCCATGCCTAACAAACTAGCCAGAAATTCTGGACAAGCCTCATGCTCAAAATAGCGCTACAAAAGTTCAAAAGCCTCTTTAACTGATCGGTCTGGTGGCACCACTGCACTGGCAATATTGTCATCACATTCAACGTTGGAAGGTTGATCCTCATATTGTACTTCGGCAATCATTTCCTTGACAGTCTCCTCACGACAGGTACGAACATTTTTATCAATTGATTCGTAGTCTTGCAGCGTGAAAGGGGCACAGGGCAAGACCTCACTGAATATTGCCTCAATTTCAGCATCAGCATGGCTTTCTTCATCAGGTACTGCTTTCTTGCGCTTGAAAGCCAGCATGGTGAAAGCATCTGTGTATTGTTGTTGCCTTCACTTGCTCCCAGGCACAAGCCAAAATGTGGATGGCTGCTAATAAATCTATGCTGTAGCATTTCCCGCTGTCTGCACAAAGCAGCATCCGATGTAGCAATTGTCTGCGCTAATGTACTTTATGTCCTGAATAACCCCTTGATCCATCGGCTGGATCACTGACGTTGCATTGGTTGGCAAGAACTCTAGAGTGATGGCTTGGAGTCTTTCAACCTGACTGTGGACTGGGCAATTATCGACGATGAAGACAACGTTCCTGCCTTGCCCTGTAAATCTTGCGTCTTTCTCCCGTAGCCAGTTTTCGAAAATAGCTATGGTCATCCACCCTCTTCCGTTCGCATGGTACTCAACGGGAAGGTGTCTAACGCGTTTAAAACAACGTAGGTGCCTTGATTTTCCTCTTCAGCTACAATTTCTCACCTCCTGTCATGTTTGCACCCACTAGCACAGTGGTGCGATCTTTACTGCTTTTTCCTCCACTATAGGCTTCGCCATTGAAGATGAGAGTCTTTGATGGAAGCGCTTTATAAAAAAGACCCATCTCGTTGACGTTGAAGACGTCTCGTGGCTCAAAGCTCATCAAGATTTTCCTAAGCCGCCCCTGTTGCCAGTCGTTGCTAATGACCCTGCTGACTGCAGCACTCCCACCTGAGGTTGCTTTGAAGACTAGGCCATGGCGTGTTTTGAAGCGGCTGAGCCATTCGTTGCTTAGGATTCAGTTCTCAAAACTCATTTGCATGGTGATCTGTCGAGCTTTCTACTCGAAAATTGGTCCGCTTATGGGCAAGTTGGAACTCCGTGCACGCTTGAACCATAGAAAAAGAACTTTTTCTAGTTGTTCATAAGGCGTCATCCGCATCCGTTTAGTTCTTTACAGCGCCTTCAATCTTTTCTCTGTCTTTGCATATCCGTGATAGTGTCGATTTCAGCATGTTGTATTTTTTCGATCGCCACCTCCGTCTTGGGCAGGCCGGTTCGATCGAGCTTCTGAAGAATTTGCACCTTTTTGTCAAGCGAGAGTGCATGGTGCGGCTGCTTCCTTTTCATCGGGCTGAAATAACACCGTGATCCACCACACTTAACCACACAAATAAGCCTAACACACAACTGACTCGCAGACTCGGCTTCCACAGCCACCACAGGCGAGAATGGCTACTTGATTGACTTGTCTCAAGGTGTTGCCATGGTTGTGCAACTACCTTTGACCTGAGCGAGTCTATGCTGTGTTTAGAGTTTGTGCCGTTTAACCGTAGGTGACCAATAAGCACAGTTTCAATTAACCGATGAATTTTACTGTGCAACACATAAAAATCCAGTCATATGAGCCCGTTTAGTTCTGTTAATGAGGCATTTTTGTTTAAGCGAGTTTCGCTTATTGGGAGTTCATTGTAGTTAAAGGTACTCTGAAACTACCGTATAAACCGGACTATAGGTTGAGTGGGAATATAGGTCGACCCCCCAAGTTCAGGTTACCGAAAAAGAAAAAAAAGGAAAACAACCCAAAACTGCCGAACCACATTTATTTGCGAATTGGGCGCACCCCATCTCGATCGTGTGAGCTCCCCTCTACCACCATCGCAACTGTCGCATTGTCGCACCATCGCATTGTCTTGCGTTTGAAAAGGACGAAGGGCGGAAGCTTTCTACCATCTGCCGTGCATGCCAGCATGACGGTAAAGCGCGAGTGCTCGTTGCCAGTGGACAGCAGCTTCACATTCTTGGCGCTGTGCTGCATGATCGTGGTCGACGAAGGCATGTCAAACCACACGGGGGTCTCATCGGCGTTGCCAATCTGCCCCATCATGTAGTCGTTCTGCTCCCGAAGCCGGTTTACGAAGCGCTGAAAGTTTATAAGCTTGTCCTCGAACTCCTCCGGCAACTTTTGACAGATGGATGTGCGCCACTGGAGAGAAAATCCTTTGCGTCACATGAATTGACGCACCCAAGAGTTCGGTGCACGAAACTCTTCTCTTGTGAGCCCAGCTTCCCGAGCGAGTTCCACGCCTTTCTTGCGAATGGTATCTACAGTCACTGACAGCGAGTGCGCACAAACTTCCCGCACAAAGTCCGCTAGCTTATCCTCCAGCTGCGGATGAACCGCACTTCGTCCACGAAATGACATTTTTCGAGGATCGCACATCTGCAGCTTCCCTATCTGCGCCCTCCAATAGCGCACGCTTTTTTCTGATACACCAAAGCGGCGCTGAGCAGCCATATTCCCGTTCGCTTCTGCGAACTAAACATCTAGTTTAAACGCAGCTGAGTACTGCCTCCTCGCACCGCTAGACATATTCAGTGAACAAAAAAAAAGGCCACTAAAAATGCAGCGAAATGTCAAGCGGAGCGAAAACTCGGAACAGATCGGAAGCGAATCACCAACACAAAGAAAACAGACTGCGATTGTATTTGGATGTGGATATGGCCGCGTCTGGCTTCACAAGCACATGCAAGCCATATGTTGCCAGACAGCGTCGCACTTTCGGCTAGACACCGCTATAAAAGACGAGGGGCTACCTTAGCTTATTGTTTTATTGAAAAAATCTCGACCTATATTCCGGTTGTACGGCATTTTTTTTTTTTTTTTTCAAGTTTTGTCAGTGTTCAGGCTAGAACATCATGAAACTATTTGCACCACAAATTTAGCGTCACGCTGTGTACTAAGGTCCTCCTTTGCATCCCTGCCTTGCCTTCTCAACTCAGGAGACACGCTTGCATCGCTGGCGATTTAAGCTTTGCCCAGTCTAGATCTTCGAGATTGCACGCCGGCAGGTTGCACTTATCTCGGAGACCATAGCCGGGTGTGCCCAGCAGTACCCAGGCTATCTGGTAATAAAGGCAAAGATCGTGGAGTGGTTGATATCTGTCCCGACAGGTGCTACCACCCTACCAGACGATCTTACGTGCATTCCACACCCAAATGAGATCAGCAGTCTGGGTGAAGTCGCACTTGCAGTGGATGTCATACTATGAATGGACGGGGGAAAATGCATTTAGCTGAGCCGCAATGATCTGCAGCGATTCGTAGCTTTAAAGTTTAATAAATTACACAGTTTATGCAGAGAGCTTAAAACCCTTAGGACTTGGTCTACCAGTCCAATGTGTTTGTACAAAATCGTCAAAACCATTTCAGGGTCTCTTTGCAGAGTTTGTGGCATGTACCGAATGTATTCAAAGCGTGCGCCAAAATGCCTGATAAGCGTACTGGGAAGCATTGAAGCTATTTAAATATGACTGTGCTGATTTGACTGCTGGAGAGGAAAAAAAATACAAATTCGTTTTTACAGGTGATTTTGCTTTTCTTAGGGAGTTTGAGAATTATGACATTTACTGTATCATGATTTACTGGAACACTCAATCATTTTCTTTAATTTTCAGTGAAAAATCACATTGATTAAATATAAGCTGAGTAATTTCAATAATGCTTTATGATTGTTTTTTTTTTTTTTTTGGTCACTGGATCTATTCAAAATGAATATTGAAAGTGCAACTAAACTGAACTTCATTTTTTTTGTCTCCTATTAACCTTTTTGGAAGATGTAAAAAGCATGGAAATCAGTTAGTGGTTTTCATAAAAAATGTAAGTTTTTAATGAGTGCAGCGTTTAGAGAGGTTTTCGTAGTTCTTATTGTTTCTATTGTTTTCACTTGCAGCAGCCACATCCCCAGCTTCCACCATATGGTCCACAGGCCCAGCAGCAGCTTATGCAGAATTCCCAGCTGCAGCCACAGCCGTTACCTTCCCAGTCTTTACAACCACCGTCTTTGCAACCCCAGTCATTGCAATCGCAAAGTCTGCAACCTCCGACTTTACAGCCCCAGGGTCTACCACCTCAAGGATTGCAGCCTCAAGCATTGCCACCTCAAGGCTTGCAGCCACAGACACTGCAGCCACAAGGCTTACAGCCGCAGGGTTTGCAACCGCAGAGCTTGCAGCCACAGCAGCAGGCATCAGCCTCTGTTGGCATTGGGGTTGCCTCTTCAGCATCATCAGTCCCTCCGCCTAGCCCCACAGTGTCTACGTTGTTTTCTAGCATGGCAGACAGCTACCGACCTCCGAGCCAGCCCTCTTCACTGCCCACACCTATGATCTCCGATCAGGTTAGAACCTGTGAGGTTTCTCGATCAGTTTTTCAGTAAAACTTTTCTCAACAAAAATTTTTATTGCTTGTGTTAATACAATATTGTGAATAAAGAAGTTATTGAAACAGCCACTACACTTTGACCATTGTTAATCTCTTGCGTAGTACATAACCCACAGCATTATTAATAGCTTTAAAAGAACACAAAATCAAGATGCCATGTCGAGTGCACTATTAAGTTGCTCTTGATATTGCCATTCTCCAATGCGAAAAATGCAACTTTTATTTGAGAAAGGGCTTGATATACAGTAGACTTTCAGTAAAAGGAAATCTGTTTAAAATCAAGATGCCATGTCGAGTGCACTATTAATTTGCTCTTGATATTGCCATTCTCCAATGCGAAAAATGCAACTTCTATTTGAGAAAGGGCTTGATATACAGTAGACTTTCAGTAAAAGGAAATCTGTTTAATGGAATTGCTGCTTAAATGAAACAACTGTCTCTGATATGGTCAGTTTAGTACTTTGTATTCTGCACCCCAGTTCATCTCTAAGTAAGTAAAACTCCTGCGAAAACGGAGCATATTTTTCTGATCCTTTCAGATACCGTTCAACGAAAGTTTGCTAAACAAATACAAAATACAACGTAGGTGGCAGTGCTGCCTTTTATGTGTCATTTTGATTTTCAGTGAAGGCAAATAATGTATAACACTTCACATACTGCAGCTCGGGGAGCAGCACTTTCGGAGTATCGTGTTACTAGTAATCTTAAAAATTTTGGGGACATGAAAGTTGACCTTTGCATTTTGCTATTGTGTCTTGAGCAGCTTGTAGACAGAATTGCATATCATGTGCTGTTTGCAGGACCTGCAAAGTTCACTGCCTCCACTGCCTTTGGCGGGTGTGCCAAGTGTGGTGCCAGCTTCTGTGGATGATCTTTGCCCTCTGGAGGGTCCTTTGAGCAGTTCTCTGGATGTGCCGTATGCATGCCCATTGCCTCCTGAGGATCCCTACCTTCTGCCACCTGATGATGTGCTGCCTCCTATTGAGCCTATGACCAAGCGCAAGCCCAGCCGGAGCAAAAAGAAGGCCAAGACGTCTCAGGAAATGCCCCCTCTGGGCTTGGGGCCTGGGGAGGGCCTCATGCCTCCGGATTTCATGGTGAGATACAGACAAGCACAGCACAGGCTTCCTTGTTGCTTTCTTGTAAACAGTACGAGTGTAGTCTCTTTCATTGGTATTGTAATGGATGCAGTACAGTTAAACCTAGTGATAAAAAATAAAAAAGCAGACTTCACAATGTAACAACCTTTTTAATGTTTTCTTCCAAGGAAATGCATCTATGTTTTCCTTGCTGTGATCTTTTGTGCCACAGTTTTGATGCAACTTCTGTTCAACAACAAAAGAAAACTTTGCCGATTTGAATAAATCTTCCTTTGAACTAATTACGAATTTATCTACGAATCGAAGAGCTGTCAGGTTAATCTTGTCAAATAAAAAAGTAATTTCATTGTCTCTTGCGGAGAGAGGAATGTTGCAAAGCACTGATGCAGGGTTAGAAGCATACTTGCTAGACACATACTTAATTAGATGGAGTGCTGAGTGTACTGTTGTGAGATACAACTTTAGAAGTCCACGGCATTTCTAGCTCAAAGGTGGATGCACACAAGGTTGCACTAATGGGCGCAAACGTCAGACAGACATCATGAGCCGGCCCGCCGATGCCGAGTGTATGAGCAGAACTACCGTATTTGCTCGCATAATCGGCGAACTCGCATAATAGGCGCACCCCTAGTTTGGTCGCGGAAAATTCGATTTTTTTTAATTTCGCGCATAATAGGCGCACCCCGAACTTGGCCGTGATCAGAAACGATTCTACCTCCCAGCGGTACAGTTGGAACGCGGTCCCCGTACCCTGAAGAAAAAAAGAAGGCAAATCGACGAGCAAATAAAAAAAATTCGAAGTGCAACGACGTAACGTGTTTGTCGAAATAAAACTTGAAAAAAAAAAAAGCGTTCATGAGTGAAAAAAAAAAAAAAAAAACGGCTGTTCCATCAATTACTGATACCCCCCAAATCGCCGCGCTTTTTGGAGGTCACGTGTACAACGCCGGGGGCTCGATCGCCATCACCACCATCAGAGAAAAAGAAAGAAACGCCATTTTGCAAGTCGTGTGCGTATGTTGTGGTCGTGTATTGAACTTTGGTTCCACCATGGGGAAGTACGCGAGCTACACGGCTGGGTTTAATCTGAAGGCAGTGCAGTACGCGCTGGAGCACGGCAACCGGGCTGCAAGCAGGCATTTCGGCGTTGGAGAAACCAGTATTCGGTACTGGAGGGACCAAGAAGAAAAACTTAAGGCGACGAAGAAGACACGACGGGCTTTCCGCGGTGCCAGGACCGGCAGGTATCCGAACGTCGAAGAGCAACTGGTCCGGCATATACGGGAGCTACGACAAGATGGCTGTGCTGTGTCGTTGGATATTGTGCAGACTGAGGCGCGCAGAATAGCCCGAGCGCAGGGCATCGAAGCAAAAGAGTTCAAAGCCAGCTCCGGATGGACAACTCGTTTCATGCGGCGCCATGGCCTCGCACTGCGAAGGTGGACCACCTTGTGCCAGCGCTTGCCCGCAGCATATGAGGACAAAGTGGTGGACTTCCACAGTTTTGTTATAAAGCTCCGACAGCAGAAAGACTTCATTTTGTCCCAGATCGGCAACGCTGATCAGACCCCCCTTTGCTTTGATATGCCGTGGAACACGACAGTGGAGGAGAAAGGTGCACGGAGCGTCATCATCAGAACGTCTGGCGCTGATAAACAACTATGCACCGTAATGCTGGCGGTGACAGCGGATGGGCGCACGCTACCGGCTTACGTTATTTTTAAACGTAAGACGCTCCCAAAGGCGAAATTCCCTCAAGGCATCTACGTCAGAGTCCAGGAAAAAGGCTGGATGAGCGCGGAACTCATGGTGGATTGGGTGAAAACAGTCTGGGGTCGGCGGCCGGGTGGTCTGTTGTTGCCGTCCATGCTTGTCCTGGACAGTTTTCGTGGGCACCTAGTATACCGCGTACGAGATGAGCTAAAGGAGCTGCGCACAGATCTGGCAGTGATTCCGGGCGGCCTCACATCGATACTGCAGCCTTTGGACGTGTCCTTGAATAAACCTTTCAAGGACAATGTTCGAAGGCTGTACACCACCTGGATGGCTGGAGGACAACATCAGCTGACTACAGGTGGTAAGATTAAGAGGCCGCCTGTGGAAATGCTGTGCGCTTGGATCGTGGAAGCGTGGCAGGCGATCTCCGACGAAGTCGTCAGGAAAAGCTTTAAGAAGACGGGTATCTCGAACACACTGGATGCGAGTGAGGATGACATGTTGTGGGGTGCGGATGATTCGGACACCGAAAACGAATCCACGCTCGGCGAGGATGAATGTGTGATCTCCGACTTGGACTCCGAATAGGGAAAAGGAGGAACAGCTACGACTTTTGTGTAAATAAATTTTACGTGTGTGTGTGCAGTTGGCGGCTCTCGCTTGTTCATTAAAAGGTACGTAGGTATGTTTGTTTTATGCTGAATTAATTGGTAAACGATAAAGTCGCCTTTTACTTGACAAGTGTGCAGATTTAAAGCGCGAGAACCGAGTTGAAAAAATTTTAGAAAATTTTACCCCGCGTAATTGGCGCACCCCTAACTTCGAGCCGGATTTTCTGAAAAAAAAAGTGCGCCTATTATGCGAGTAAATACGGTATTTTTTAGTCGCTGAGGCTGCCATTTTTCGGTCATCAGGGCCTCTCTGGACTTTGTTGTATCTGATAGAGGTAATTTGAGATGATATGTATGTTGTTTTATTATTTGTATATAGTAGTTGAGGCAGCACACCCTTATCTCAAAACAACTCAGCAATAATTGTGCAGTCAGTGATGAAGGTGTTTGTTGTATGGTGGCAGTATTTTTTCATGCTTGTTAATCTCACAAGCCCGCAATAAGCATGTAATGATTTACATGGCTTCTTGGTATGATTAATGAATATATATATATATATATATATATATATATATATATATATATATTCTAGGGATTTGTGGACTAGAACCACAAAACAATTTTGAGGCACAATCTGAGGAGGAGAGCTCTATTAAAGTTTTACCACACGAGTTTTCATTATGCACTCTAAATACAAGTATGCTAACATTTTTTGTATTTTGCGCCGATTGAAATGTGGAAGCTGTGGCCGGAAATTGGATCACTCTCCTTGAGCTTAGCAGCATGAAGTCTTTAGCTTAGCAGCAAAAGCCCCCTAATGGTGCATTCAGATGGAAGGACCAAATCTGGATTTGCAGGGGCGAACGGTGTGTCATGCGACCTTACATCAGCAATTCCCCTTGTCGGCCGTGCGGAGTGATAATTCCAAGCTGTTCACATTGGGATTTTTAGGGGAAGGGGAGGGCCGCTGTGTCTCGAAACGAGTACACTTTTCTTCTGCTTGAGGACAGCCGCATCGGCAGTCTTGGCAGTTGATATCGGTTTTTCGCTTGCTGATGCATGATTCAGTTTACCTCTGAAGCCATATTTTGAGATGATCAGCTTGGGGAATATCAGCATAATACCACTTTCAATGCCTGCTGATTTACAGGTTGGAGAATGGGGGTGAGTTGCTTTAAACATTGCACTTGTGCAATTATGCATCAGGCAAAGTGGTGGTGTTTCTGAAAGCGATGTTGTCGAAATGTGGCTCCGGTGTTTCAACACTGAATTTAATACAAAAATGGGAACTGATATATGAAAGCACAGTGTGCAGTAGTGTCATTTTCAAAGTCGGTATTTTTTATCTGCCCAAGAAGGAACTGCAGATATAGATCAATGCATCATTGTAACCCCTCTCCGTATGTGGGGCCCCACATCCGACAGCGGTTTCAGAAACGAAGTAGCCTCAGGTACTCACCAAGATCAGTTTTCAGAAGATGTCTGTAAAGTTGCTATTAGAACCCCAGCAAGTTCCTCTTCATGTTGTAAAGTGCTCACAGTCCAGTCTGCTGACATCCATTGCTGAGGCTTTGGTTGCTGCTTAAATGGAATAACTGCCACTAATATATTTGGTTTTCTACTTGAATATTGTACCCCTATTAATCTCTGAGTAAACAAAACTCCTCTTACAGGAAAAAAATTTTCCTGGTCCCTTCATTTCGTTTAAAAGGAGTCTACTCTATTTGCACTTCCCTAGTTGAGGTCTAACTGTCGTAATAGTAGTTTGTGCACCTGGAAATAGTTTGGATTTGATTGGGCATGGAAGTGTACGTCTAGTCATAGGCCAAAGTTCCAAGCTTTGCAGGCATGGTTGCATGATCTGTTTTGATTCCAGAAAGTTAGGGTATTAACTGAAAATACAAATGCTATAATTTCAGAAAGGCTTCATGGGGTTTATCCTGAAAACTATTCTTTATTATTGTTATTATTTTATTTTATTAGTATTTTTATTACTTTTATTATTATTATGTTAACAATTATGTTATTTCATTATCTCAAAATTTTGTGTATGAAACAAAAGTTTTTTTTTTACTGTTGAGAATAAAGCTCCATTGTACCTTGTTCATTGCTGTGGGTTACCTCATCGTGCTATGCCAGCCCTGATGTTGTGGTTTATCCTTGTTATGCCATGCCTTGTCTTGTGGGTATTTCTGTATATTCCAGATGCCTCCAGGAAGCCCAGGTGGCATGCCCTTGCTTCTTCCGCAGCCACCGGGTATGGAGGTTCCACCTCCTGCTGCAAAGAAGAGCAAGAAGCGCAAACCTAAGGAGCCCAAAGAAGGAGAGCCTCCCAAGGAGCCTAAACCTAAGAAGCCAAAAAAGCCCAAGGCTCCCAAACCTCCTAAAGAACCAAAAGAGGGAGGAGCCCCAAAGCGAAAGAGCAAGTCTAAAAAGAAGACTGCTGCAGAGCAGGGAGCAGCTGCAGCTGCATCACAGGTTCCACCATCAGATGGTCAGGATTCTGGAGCTCCTTTGCCAGAAGCAGCCCTTGAACAAACTGAAGGAAGTAGCACAGTTGATGCAGCTGTGGCAGCAGTAGCAGCAGGGACCGACATGGCAGCGCCAACATTATCAACTGCTGATGGGCAGTTGCCAACAGATGAGGTGAAAGCAGATGGAGAGGCTGTCCAACCTGCGGAAGAAGGCAAAACACCGAAAAAGAAGTCGAAAGAGAAGAAAGAGAAAAAAGAACCAAAAACACCAAAGGAAGGAACACCTAAAACACCAAAGGCACCAAAGAAAAAACTTCCCAGGTGAGTTAGCTTCTCAGAAGTGCAGTTTAAAATGGCAGGATTAGGAAAGAATAATAAATAATGAACTCTATTGTCCTACCTGGGTATATTGCACTGTAAAGAAGTTGCAAAATACCGTTCACTTCGGTTGATTCGAAGCAGAGGGTACCAACATAATTGGTATGATTATCTGACAGGGTGACTTGTAGCTAGAGTTAGTAAAAAAGGGGCTACTCTTGATTTGTTTGGTAGTAACAACCCTTACTGAAACTCATCCTCGAATCCAGCATGCATTGAAGTGCAGTCACACCCAATATGAGTTGCAACATGCCGCCTGTAATAGAGCAGTGCCAACGTGGTGCCACTGACATAAAAAGCAAATAATGGTGTTCGTAACGTTTAGACTACTGGTGTTTGCAAAACACTTCACGTTTGCTATTTCTGCAGTCTAGGCTTGGGGCTTTTTCAACCTAGGCCACAGGTTGGAACTTGTATTGTGGGCCACTGAGCACTCCACATTTCATGTAGAAAATTATCATCACAAGGACATAAATGGGTGTGCCTAATGTACAGATAAATTGAATGTGCTTTGAAGGATGTTCAGGTCTGTGCTGAGTTGTCGCAATGCATTTGTTTTGTGCACATTTCAGGTTGTCTCTCAAATTCAGCAAAAAGAAGAAACGCAAACGGTTGGGTTCCTCTGACAAGTCTGATTTAGAAGCCACTCCACCTCCTTCTCCTGAAGAAGGTGATGGAGGAGTACAGAAGCGACGGTCATCTCGTAATACCCATAGAAAGAAATACACTGATGACATTGAACTACAGTTGAGTGGTGATGAGGCTGTTTTAGATGGTCTGCATGCTTCACATGCTCTGAGAGGGCAGGAAAGCAAAAATGTCCAAGTTCTTGTCAATGTCGTCACTGAAGACACAATGGTAGTAGAGAAAATCTTGGCTTCTCGGATGGCAACCAGAAAGTCCGAAGAGGAAGACAAGGAGCCAATGGAAGTAGAAGAGTTTTTTGTTAAGTATAAGAATCTTTCATACATTCATTGTGACTGGAAGACTCTGGAAGAGTTGGAGATGACTGATAAGCGTGTGCTGCAGAAAGTCAAGCGTTTCCGTCAAAAGAAGGACAACATCAACTCAATCTTTGACTTCCTTGAAGATGAGCCCTTTAACCCCGACTACGTAGAGGTAGATCGTATCTTGGACATGACTGAAACAATAGACCCCATAGAAGGGGACGATGCGAATCGAGTTGATGTCAAAGATGAAAAGCCAGCAATGAAAATTGAAGAAAAAATTACTGAAGATCAGGTGAAGGCCGAGCCAATGGATACTACTGAGCCTGTGGAGCATAGTGGAGGTGGGGACGAGTGTAAAGTGCAGGAGCAAACGGAAAACCAAACAACAGAGGATAAAACTGAAGGGGATAGTAACGGAGTACCTCAAAACTGCGCTTCCGAGCCAGTTGAAGAAGTCAAGAAAAAGGACAGTGGTACTGCCTCTGAAATTTTAAATGCTCCAGCAGCCGTTGGTGAAAGCCCTGATAGTAGCATGTGTGAAGATGGGACAACTCAACTTTCGCAGCAGCCAATCAAAAAAGAGCCGCTTGACGAAGAGATGCCTGACAGGTAAAGCCATCAAATTTTGTTGTGATAGCATTGGCATTTGGGCTGAATCAGGGCGTTCGGGAGTACCTATGTACTAGCATAATTACCATCTGAACCACTAATTTTATCTTGCATTATCTTGGTAAAAATTAAAATTCATTTTTTTCCCTGCCATTTTCTCATAACAGTCAGGTTATTAGTGGTTGCTTCATGAAGGTACTTCAATATGTTGTTTTCTGCAAAAAATCGGTGAAAAGAAAGCATGAAAGAACACGTTGTACGGGGTCCTTTTCGTATGTCTTCTGTTGTGTTGACCTTTTTTCATGCTATTATTGGTTTTTTACGTAGACATTTTATGAGGCAAGTCTAGCTGTACTATTCGAGGAGCTAGAGGGTGTTAAATGGGATATAGGGCTCAATCAGGTTAGGAGGACAGATGAGGCCTATACGGTGCTACAGAATGGGCATGTCCTTTTGCTATCGGGGCTTGGCTGACAGAAGGAAACTGGGAGTGGGGTCCCTAATTCACAGAAACATAGCTGGCAACATAGAGGAATACTATAGCATTAATGAAAGGGTGGTAGGTATCGTAATTAAACTGAATAAGAGATACACGATGAAGATGATACAGGCTTACACACCTACATCCAGCCATGATGATGCTTCAGCTGAAAGCTTCTATGAAGACGTGGAATCGGCAATGAGTAAGGTAAAAACACAGTATACTATACTGATGGAAGACTTTAATGCAAAGGTAGGGAAAAAGCAGGCTGGAGATCAGGCAGTAGGAGATTATGGCATCAGTACTAGAAATGCCAGAGGAGAGCTACTAGGAGAATTTGCAGAACGCAATAATTTAGGGATTTTAAATACCTTCTACCGAAAACGAAGAAACCGTAAGTGGACATGGAGGAGCCCTAATGGCGAAAATAAGAACGAAATAGACTTTATAATGAGTGCACACCCAGGCATCCTGCAGGATGTTGAAGTGGTTGGCAAGGTACGATGTAGTGACCACAGAATGGTATGGTCTCAAATTTACCTAGACTTGAAAAAGGAACGACAGAAACTGATACGCAAGAAGCCAATAAATGAGCTAGCACTGAGAGGGAAAGTACAGGAATTCAGAGTCTCGCTTCAGAACAGGTACTCATCTCTTAATCAGGAAACCAACCTTAGCGTAGATGCAATGAATGATAATCTGACGAGTATCATTACGGAGTGTGCAGTGGAAGTTGGAGGCAGGGTAGTTAGACAGGACACTGGCAAGCTTTCCCAGGAAACGAAGAGTCTTATTAAGAAGCGTTAAAGCATGAAAGTCTCAAGTACAACAGACAAAATAAAACCGTCAGAGCTTTCGAAGTTGATTAATAAGCGTAAGGTATCTGATGTAAGAACGTATAAAATGGAAAGAATTGAACAGGCTCTGAAAAACGAAGGAAACGTCAAAGCAGTGAAGAGGAAACTTGAGATAGGGAAAAATCGGATGTATGCACTAAGGGACAAAGAAGGCAAAATAACTACCAATATGGATGGGATAGTTAAAATAGCAGAGGAGTTTTATAGAGATCTGTACAGTAGCCGGGACAACCACGACCTTGATACTATAAGAACTAGCAGTAAACCAGATGACACCCCACCAGTAATGATAGAAGTCAGAAAAGCCTTGGAGAGCATGCAAAGAGGCAAAGCTGCTGGTGAAGATCAGGTAACATCAGATCTGCTGAAAGATGGAGGACAGATTGTGTTAGAAAAACTAGCCACCCTGTTTACGAGGTGTCTCCTGACGGGAAGAGTACCAGAGTCTTGGAAGAAGCTAACATCATCTTAATACATTAGAAAGGAGATGACAAGGACTTGAAGAATTACAGGCCGATCAGCTTGCTCTCTGTAGTATACAAGCTATTTACAAAAGTAATTGCTAACATAGTTAAGAAATTAATAAAAATCAATCAACCAAAGGAACGAGGAGGATTTCAAACAGGCTACTCAACAATCGACCACATTCATACTATCAATCAGGTAATAGAGAAATGCTCAGAATATAACCAACCACTATACATAGCTTTCATAGATTACGAGAAGGCGTTTGAGTAGAAATATCAGCAGTCATGCAGAGACTGCGGAATCAGAGCGTCGGCTGAAGGATATATAAACATCTTGGAAGAAATCTACAGGTGATCAACTGCTACCATAGTGCTTCATAAAGAAAGCAACAGAATACTAATCAAGAAGGGTGTAAGGCAGGGGGATACAATCTCCCCAATGCTATTTATCGCGTCCTTACAGGAGGTTTTCACAGGCCTAGCATGGGAACAGTTAGGGATAAGAGTTAAGGGAGAGTACCTTAATAACCTGTGCTTCGCCGATGACATTGCATTGCTGAGTAACTTGGGGGATGAATTGCAGCTCATGATTACAGAGTTAGACAAGGAAAGCAGAGATGTGGGTCTTAAAATTAATCTGCAGAAAATGAAAGTAATATACAACAACTTCGGAAGAGAGCAGCGCTTTGAGATGGGTAATAGCGCACTTCAAGTTGTAAAAGACTGTCTACTTAGGGCAGATAATAACCGCGGAGTCAAACCGAGATTGAAGTAACTAGAAGAATAAAAATGGGGTGGAGCACATTTGACAAGCACTCTCAAATCATGACAGGTAGATTGCCACTATCCCTCAAGAGGAAGGTATATAACAGCTGTATCTTGCTGGTGCTTAGCTACGGAGCAGAGACCTGGAGACTTACAAAGAGGGTTCAGCTTAAATTGAGGACGACGCAGCGAGCACTGAAAAGAAAAATGGTAGGTGTAACCTTAAGAGACAAGAAGAGAGCAGAGTGGATTAGGGAATAAACGGGGGTTAAGGATATCATAGTTAATATCATGGGTCGGGCATGTAGCACGTAGACAGGATAACCGCTGGTCATTAAGGGTAACTAACTGGATTCCCAGAGAAAGCAAGCGGGTTAGGGGGAGACAGAAGGTTAGGTGGGTTGATGAGATTAAAAAGTTTGCGGGTATAAATTGGCAGCAGCAAGCACAGGACCGGGTTAACTGGCGGAACATGGGAGAGGCCTTTGTCCTGCAGTGGACGTAGTCAGGCTGATGATGATGATGAATGGGTTTTACATTTTGGAGCTGGTATCGGTTGTCCCGAGCCATTTTAAACATTATCTGTGTTTAATTGTACTTACCTTACATTTTAATGGCCTGCATTTTATTGTTTTTGTAATTTCAGCGTAAAACCAGAGGATGACAGTGTGTTTGAGGACACTGGAGCAACCACAGCTGTCAAGTCTGATGATGATTTGTTGCCGAAGGAACCGAAGGAAGAAAAGCCAGAACTGAGCAAGGCTGGCAGCACTGATGAGTCCGATAGTAGGAAGCCAAAACCGGTGCGCACTACCCACAAGCATTACTTAGTCAAATGGAGAGGTCTGTCCTACGAGGAAAGCACATGGGAGTTAGAAGAAGATGTGGATCCACTGAAGGTCGAGCACTTTCTGAGGTTTAAAGACCCTCCCCCTAAAGAGAAATGGAAAGTAAGTACTGTGTAAATACAGGCTTCATAATGTTGTTCTTACGTGTTTAAATCTGTATTTAGGGGTAAGTAGGCTTGGGCGAATATTCGATTGATAATGCAGTTTTCAAATTCACTTTGAATAAAATTTAAGGTATTGAAAATTTTGAATTATTCGAGACAAACGAATAAGTGTATATTAGTGTGCATGTAACATCCTGTAAAGGTGGTTTCACTGCAGTTGGGGGTTCTAAGCAGTGGAAGCATTTATCCAAGTATATGTTAGTTCACATGTAACTTTTTGTAAAAGTGGTTTCACTGCTGTGAAGTCTTGCTGAGCTGTGAAAATACATAAGGAGAATTCTGCACTGCCGTGAAACCCCACTTCAAGGTCACATGAAGATATTTACCTCAAATCAATTCATTTTTTCAGTTTAAAAGCTCGCTATACCAACTTATATGCTCTCAGTATAGCAAATTTTAAAACTTTACATACAGTTGAATCTCGATGATACAATTACAGTGGCCCCGCCGCGGTGGTCTAGTGGCTAAGGTACTCGGCTGCTGACCCGCAGGTCGCGCGTTCGATTCCCGGCTGCGGCATTTCCGATGGAGGCGGAATTGTTGTGGGCCCGTGTATTCAGATTTGGGTGCACGTTAAAGAACCCCAGGTGGTCAAAATTTCCGGAGCCCTCCACTACGGCGTCTCTCATAATCAAATGGTGGTTTTGGGACGTTAAACCCCACAAATCAATCATCAAACAATTACAGTTAATGTGAATTTTGTGATGATACAAACTTTAAGGTTGTTTGGGGTGGACTACGTTACATAAAATACACCTTAATTCGGTGTTTTACGGGCGGTTTCCCAAGCCAGTGCGGATGATATGAATGTGAAATTTAGTGGCTGGAAAAACATGGTGCGAGGCGACGCGAAAAAATTGGTCAAAGACCAATTTTCTCGCTATGCGATAGTGTATCGCCTTTTTGCTTCACGGCTTTGGCTTAACTGGCTGCTCTATCTCACAAACCCTGCGCAGCCAAATGCACAGAGATTGAAAAAGGGAACTGCCATTTGCCGCAACAGTCGTGCACAAAACCGCGGTCGCGGCGACACGATAGCGATGTACGGGCTCCGAGGGCACGCGGCTAACGCAGCAGTAGATTAAAGGCAGTCAAAATGTAAAAGAAAAAGGCCAGACGCGTTTTGCCGTTCCTGTCGAAAGAATCTAGAAGTGAGCAACGCTGTGACATGCGCTTTTGCCGCAGCAAGCTGCACCGTCCCGTCTGATCACGTGTGTCCCAGGAAGACATATGAGAGTTCTTTTGAATTGACGGAAATGGATTCTGCTAGTTGTGTTGATCCTTTGAGACTCTCACCTTAGTGGGAAACCCTACCCTCGTGTGTTCGGCTACTCCAAGCCACTATAAAACTGCAACGCTGATGTTGGGGCTTGCGAGTGAGATCCCCTCCTCACCCTTTGTTGTTTTAGCGATGTTTTTCGATTGGTTGTCTGTTTTTCGGGTTTTTTTTGGTGCCGGAAAAAAAAAAACTAGCAAATACTTCAGCACAGCCCCCCCCCTTGTTGCTGAAATCTCCCGGATTCAGAATCCTTGAAGTTGGCAGGTATGTCGGTGTAAACTGTCTCTTTTCAGTGCTTTGCATGGAATATTAGAACTCTGTACTGTTGTGCAATACCATCTAAGATAAAGCACATGTCGGATTTAGGATAAGCTGCTCATAAAAGTATCTGGCTCTTTGATGTTACTGCTGAGTTCTTGTTAGCTTATAAAATTACCGCATGTGTGCGATGCAGGTCATTCTATTGTATTGCAAGTTGCAATAAACGTGTGTGTGATGGCTAGCTGGCTACCGAGTCATGCAGTTATAACAGTGGCGACGATGGTGGGACTTACACAGGCATGTTAGCTGGGCCTCTTCTGTAGCTCAAGTCACGGCATCAGTATTCTAGGAGCGGAAAGAGTTCGTGGATTATCATGACATGGCTTCCTTTGGCCGGCTTGAGTCGTTCACGGAAGAGGGAGACGAATATGAGCACTGAAGGCACGAACTTCAGTGCTCATGAAACGGACAAAATGAAATGAATTCTCAAGCAGCAATGGTGGCGGAGGGGGTGGCATGTATATGAGGAGCAGAACGAATGTGAACGTCTTTAACGGGCGCAGACGTGGTTTTCTGGCCGCTCTGGTATTTTCGCTTGAATTCTCCAGGACTGATTTTTTTTTTCATTTCAACTTTGCTGCGCGGTTTTCCGGCCACTTAAGTGGTGAAGCGAGTAAATTTCCAAAGAGTTTGGCCGCTTTTGCTGCCTTTGATGTCAACAGTGAATGCGCCGCACCAGCAGCGTGAGTCAGGAAACTGCGACATTTTATCGAGAGATGGTGAAGGCAGGAAAGTTCAAAAGAATATCGTAGACTTTTTTTCAGCAAGTAGTAGTTGCCAATTAAATTCTCGTTCATTTTCAATATGAGCTTTAAGTTGTTTTTGGTTCATGTGAATTAAAAATAATACGAATATTTTATGTGCTCCCTTCGAATTCGTATCATTCTACTGTATTTTACAGGCTATCACTTGCATTCTACGGAAAGTCAAATCCTGCTACTATTCAAAGTTGTTTCCACTTCCTTTGATGAAAAAAAAAAGGCATTGGCACAGGCCTTGTTTGAATTAAAAAAAAAAAAATATTGCACAGCTCAGTTTGGTCGTGACAAATGCCCTTCTTTCTTTATAATTGTGATATATACACTATTTGAATCAGCTTTGAAGTTATTCGACCAAAATCACAATTCGCTTCGAATTCACTTAAACCTAAAATTCATTATTCACCCAAGCCTAGTTGAAAGTTTTGGCATTTTGTGTTTGAACTCTTGCTTTTTCATGCTTGTCATGTGTTAACTCTTTCGTTACCAGGTGTATTCAAATAATCACTGGTGATAAGTGTTTTGAATTGTCGATTTTGGCGTGTTGAATACTTTTCTTGTGGACCTAGCACTACCAAGTAATTAGTGCAGCCACTGAACTTTCAGAATTGGGTAGAATTTGCCTGTTTTGGCAACATTGTGATTTTTGGCAAACCTTTGCGCATGTTGTTGGGAAAATGCCCTTGGCTGGTGAACTTGTGAGAAATGCGTGCCGCTCTTGGTTATGCTTCAGTAACATCAAATTTCTGTAGTAAAAATAACCTTTGCAAGTCAAATATCCAAATATGGTGCATCTTTGGTTTCGCTTCTGTTGTCATATTGGACACAGGGCCGCATTCGGTGTTGCTCGTCGCTCTTATGTCAGCGGCGTCACGCTAATGCCTTTCTTTAGGAGCGGTTTGTCAACCTCTGGTGTAATAGGTACCTTGCAGGCATACCTTAGTAGTTGCCCCTGGACAGTTTACAACGTGCCTTAGAAAGGCTGCTCTTCCAGCTTTTGCTGTGGTTGGGCTGAGTGTCCTGCGCAGGCCAGGCATGTTCTTTTTTCTTTTTCTTTGTTGCTCTCTCTTTTTTTTCTTGCCACCCTACCCTTCTCTGCTGCGGATAGGGTAGTCATAGTCTATCGTTGTGACTACGCCCAATTCGGCAATGTAACAAAATGTTGCCGACTTATCCATGACTTGTTTGTGCAACACACACACGGACCAGAAAGAAATAGAGACCATGGGTGAAAACTCAAAACTGCTTTATTTAAAACAATGAAATGAATTTTTATTTTTGAGGAATATTTTTATTTTTGAGAAATAGAGAAATAGTTTAGCATAAACACATCTTGTGGATCACCGTAGTTCGTGTAGTTACACTCAATTTTAGCAGGCACAAAGATTCTGTCAACAGACAGGCATAAAGTCAATCATAATTTGATTGAATACATGTACTTCGGTGTATCTCGTGGGTATTTGGGCCCACCATTGGGCAGCTATGTATATTTCTCGAAGATAAAAATGCATTTCGTTGTTTGCGCTCGTGGTGTCTATTTCTTTCTGGCTTGTGTGTGTGTTGTGCAAATGAGTCGTGAATCAGTACCAGCTCGCCCAATGGTCAGTAATATAGCTTATGTCATCGGTATGCAGTTAACAGTCGCACAAGCTGCCTCCACGTGTTGCTTGTGTCTTTTACTGACAGGTGGTATAGTAGTGAAGAACAATGCGAGGCATGGACATGATAAACAAAAATGTATTGCATGCCAAAACTGTATCCACTGCACAACCAAAGCCCCGCTTGGCCTGGGCACAGTTTCATAGATCGACAAACCCATTGCTCTGTCGGGTTCCCACGGGAAACATTACATCACTTAGCAGTTCAGGCACCTTGGAGAAACAGTAATTGTTTTTTTTTTTTTTATTTGAGCAACTGTGTGGTGCGTAGCGTTGTGATGTACACTAAATTTGATCGCTGTGACTGTCAACATGAGCAAGTGGGGTTATTTGAAAGGTAAAAAATAAATAGAGTTTGGGCCTGTTTGCCTGCCCTTAAACTGGAAATATTGAAATTATCGGTTATAGGGAAGAGTTATAGCATGAAACTGTTATGCTTGCTGTCTCAAGGTACTCTGTTATGTGTGTCATGCTTAGATTAACATCTTGTGGTTATAGGTGTTTTGAAGTCGAACCTGTAGTCTTCCACATTGTGACTTTGCCTTGGAAAGTGCTTGACTCAGGGTGATGCACAATTTATCTTTGATGAGATTTTTCATTTTTATTTAATAGGTGAAAAAGCGGCCGAAACCGTCTGAGTGGAAGCAGATAGACGAGTCGCCAGTCTATAAAGGAGGGAACACGTTGAGAGAATACCAACTGGAAGGTCTTAGCTGGCTAACTTTCTGCTGGTACAATGGGTAAGTTTGTCTCATCTGTGATGCCATGAGGCCTTATAGCAATCTTCACTATAACTTCGTTGAATATCCAGACCAGCTTTTCAGATGTCCAATTTTTCAACCTGCATAAACACATTTGAACTTTCTTCTTTGATTGCAAGTCTGAACGACATTAATTGAAGCAATCATTGCTACTAGGTTTATCTGGTAGCCTTGAACCACTCCTCCCGTGTGATGGTAAAAAAAAAAAGACTTGTGTGTTTTATAAACTGCGTGCTATTTTTGGCCTATGAAAAGCCAACTGGATTGGAATGCGGTAGCTAAAAATGAATAAACCTGGTGATGCTTGAGGTTATTACCGCAATTTTTTTTCATGGACTCCTCGGCATGTATTTGATTTGAAAGTACAGTGGTGTCCTGTTCCATGCTAGATTTCATAAAGGTTTGTATGTAACATAGTTTTGATTCATGTTTGTTCCGTGCAGACAAAACTGTATCCTGGCTGATGAAATGGGCCTGGGCAAGACTATTCAGTCTTTGACCTTTATCAACGAAATAGTAAAATACGGTATCAATGGACCATTTTTGGTCATTGCTCCACTTTCGACAATCGGCAACTGGCAGAGAGAGTTTGAAACGTGGACTGAACTGAACGTTATCACCTACCATGGATCGTAAGTGGCTGTTTGTGTGTCAGCAGTTTTCATTTGTAGTAAAAGTAAAGGTTATTGGGATGCATACTTGATGTATGCAGTGCAGTTGTGAAAATTTGTAATGGTTTATTGGTAGTGGTGTATTTGGACACATTCCATGAATTATACTATTTGCAATAAGTGAAGTGAAATGAGCTTTAAGAGACAAATCGGTACCTGTACTGCAGCAATTTCCACTTGTGTAGCGTGTTGTTCATTCAAGGACGCTGAGTATTTGCTCATATTGCAGAAGCTTTGGGAAGATGTCTCCAAAATTACTGCTGTGCGCTCTTACACTTCTACGCCACTGTGCTGGGGTATTATCAGCAAAAGTGCTGTCTGATCACTGGACTGTTCGCACTACCCTCTAAATTGTCTTTCTTGGTGTTCTACATTTCTGATATGATGTTGGCTATGTTACATTTCAGATATGATGTTGCCATTCTTGCAAACTAGGCCAGTTTATTGTCACTTTATTCTATTCTAGCTAAGACAAAGTATAATTATTACTGTGTCATTTTGGAATGCTAGGAAAAAATATAGCAAAAAGAAGGGGGGTGGGAGAGGAAAAAATATTTTGTTCAACAGCTGGTGCCTCGCAAGTTATTGTTCAAAATAATTTCACAACTAAACTGTGAACAAGCATGTGCAATGGCATTATGGTCACTGGCACTGGCCCAATTCGAAAGTATGGTGGTTTCATTGACCTCAAGGCCTCCATACTTCCGAGTTTTCCCCAATGTGGGTGGAATGCTGCTGTACAGCTTTATGTCCATGTAGCTGCAAGTTCTTTTGGGCGGGAAACTTCTGCGAGAGTAACATCTTTTTGTGTGCTGATTGTTTATGTAGAAATAAAATTGGTTGGTATTTGAATATTTGAACACTTCGAAATTCTAACGAATATTCCAGCATTTGAATTAGTTTCAAAACGTAAATATTTAGTATATGTTGAGCGCGAGCAACTGAGGATGAGGTGAGGAAAGAGACTACAGCACTGAAGTCTGTCTTTCTTTTTTCGTTCTCATTTTTCTCGCGCTAGTATGCATTCAAGATGGATGCACACCAGCTTGCTCTATAATGTCTGTGTTTGTGTGTGTGTGTGTGTGCGTGTGTGTGTCCACACACACATGCAATATACAAGCATTTAGTGGGGCATTTGAAGCGTGCCCTGGCTACACCAGTGATTTTTACCGAGCATTTGTGAGAGCTAGCTGCATGGTGATTGTTTTAGGTCGGCAAGTCGCAATATGATCCAGGAGTATGAAATGTACTACAAGGATGAAAATGGGCAGCGAATTACTGATGTGTACAAGTTCCAAGTGATGATCACGACATTCGAGATAGTGCTCAGTGATTGCATGGAGCTGCAGGCACTCCCATGGCGTGCCTGTGTGATTGATGAGGCCCACAGACTGAAGAATCGAAACTGCAAGCTTCTAGAAGGGCTCCGAATGCTCAATCTTGTAAGTTTCACCTGGTTGTCTCCCAGTGCCGTTTGTGCTATTTTATTTATTTTTTTGTTTATTTTAATGCTGCTGCTCTCAATTAGCAGCTTAGCGTGGGAAATGCAAAATTCAATCCAAAACTTGGAAAGGGCTACAAAATAGTCAAGTATGAAATCAATACAAGTATAATGAGTGTATGGAAGAAGAAGTTACAGGGGGTTAAAAAAAAAAGAAAAAAATTGTGGGTATGTAAAATAATTACAATGTATTTGTAAAAAAAAGCTCTCACAGCACACTAGTTTCTCTGATTTAACTGCATTCAAATAATGCAGGATTGTTACATTGGATCACGTGGGGAAGTGTTTTGTAGTAGAGGAACCAATGACGATTCTCTCAAAAGGGGGAGTTGGTGTTGTAGCATACAGTTAAGGCAATCATATTCCATAAGTTTTTAATGAATTCAGAGAATAATTTTTTTATAACACTTATGCGTGTGGTACTTGAATGACTATTGTGGGTTAATTGACACCATGTAATTTTGCTGATTAAGCATTGTAAAACTTTGATGTTAGTATCAGATGTGCTGGTGTGGCAAATGACATCTAGAATGGAAAAAAATTTTTTAATGGAACATTTCAAATTCTTCATGTCAACACACATTTGATTGTACTGATAATGGTAATAGTAATTGCATCATCTAATTTAATAAAACCAGTGTTTCTGAAACTTGTCATTGTAAAAACGAAGATAGTTGCGGGAGTTGTACTTTTCTTCATTGCTTTAGGAGCACAGCGTTTTGCTGACTGGAACCCCTTTGCAAAACAACGTCGAAGAGTTGTTCAGCTTGCTGAATTTCTTAGAGCCTAGCCGTTTCAGCTCCACTGAGACATTCATGGAAGAGTTTGGAGACCTGAAGACGGAAGGGCAGGTCGACAAGCTCAAAGCGGTGTGTAGCTGTTTCGCCATTTCAACAATGGCTGTTTCTCAGTGGTCTTGTAGTGTGTCTGTGTCAATCGAATTTATTGCTCTTGCAGTTACTAAAACCCATGATGTTGCGTCGTCTCAAAGAGGACGTTGAAAAGAGCCTGGCTCCTAAGGAAGAAACCATCGTTGAGGTAATAATTCTATTTGATTGCCTTTTCTAATTCTCCGATATTCTAGTGGCATCTGGCATAAGCTTGAGGTTTCTCTTACAAAGGGGTGAAAACACTGCAAATTGTGCCAGCCAGTGCCAAACCATAAATATACAACTTATCTGTTGAAATGAGGGATATTAGCTAGTCTGAGGGAAGTGTTCAATCTGATATTGCTGTGTTCATGTTTGATGAGACTTGGGATTGTAGTAGTGGAACTTTGCGAAATATTCAAAGGAAATGAATGTGCTTTCTCATATATAAGGCTTGAAAAATTTGTTTCACGACAGTGCGACCTACACTGCTGTGAAGCCACCCTTTCAGGCAAAGTTCGTGCTGCTATGAAGCTTAAGTTTCAGGAGACATGCTCGTTCTTTCAACTTTTGAAAAGTGGTAGAGCTTTCATCGCGGCAACAGTTTTCTTCCAATGTCAGCCACCAATTTTCAGGATATGGTTTCAAAGGCCATGCTTGACTACACACTCCCATTTCACTAGTTTCGTTAACATGTTGCTCTTTGCTGGCTTTGCTCGTCTGTGAAACTTATTGTAACTGCTAGTAACAGAAAATTCTATGCTCACGTGTTGTCGCCTACTTGCTTCCTTGACACCTTTTTTGCCTTTTAGGCGCAATTCAGGGAAAAAACTAGCGCTGCCCGTTGGGCAGTAACGAGCAGTGATGGTGTTTGTGCCATTCTCACTTCTCAAAGCTGGGCCATCTGGATTGTGGTGCGAGTCTGCTCTCGTTACAACGGGCCACCATAATTCGGTAACATGGGTCCATATCATTCGAAGTCCGTAATATCCAAACTCGGTGTGAAATGGGGGAGGGGTGCGCGCGTCGCCATGTGTCGGTCGTTTTGATTTCATTCAGCAGTATGGAAGGGCTAGTTTCACTGATACTTGCTGAATGTGTTCGACAGCATGGTTACGAAAGACCTCAATCACCAGCAGCGATTACGTATTAACGAAATTGCAGCATGATTTCTAATGAACGATTGAGTGCTGTTACAGTAGGTGCAGGGACGGCTTGCTAGACAGTCCAAAGTTGGTCTGACATATCTGAATTTAGCAGCCCCAAAGCACTTCTCACATTAGTACTCTAATTTGGCAACTCGCCTGCTCCGAGCACCAGGACATCTTGCTTTCAAAACTTTTGTCGCGATGTTTAATAACATTACCGCAATGGAGCGACGAACGTCTAATGCAAAAGACAAACAAAAAATATTTATTTACACTTAGCTCGAAAAGAAGGTTGTGATAAGAGATTGGTGAGCACCTTTCAGTGATGATGCAATCAATTTGTGCTGCATTTTATAGAGCTGCAAAATTTTAACCATTGGTGTGACCAGCAACCTCTTGAACTGGAGGCTTGGCTTGGCCGGGAACTATCAATGTTGCCAGTCACAATTTAGAACTGCTGTGGCATTAGCACGCAGACAGCAGTGTGGTGATTCTGTTGTTATCCCGCATCAACACACCAAAAGTACACTTTATGCACCCAATTTGGAAGCAAAATGCCGCTAATTTCATCTACTGTAGCGATGGCCTATTGTATTTTAGTCCGTTAAAAGCAAACTTCGCTCCATTAATTTATTATAAAACACAGATCAAAGCTATGCTGAATAATAGTGTACGCTGAATATCCAGAAGTTTGTTGAACGCAGGTCTGTTATAATGAGTGTAGAGTGTCTATTATAATGGTCTATTGTAAGGACAATACCTAGACTGTATTTGTTTGATTGCTTGTGTATGGGATAGTGCTGTTGTATTTTACATACTTTTAGTAGGTGACTAATGTGTTGCACTGCAATCACTGCTGCCTCCTTATATCATCATCATCATCATCAGCCTGACTACGTCCACTGCAGGACAAAGGCCTCTCCCATGCTCCGCCAGTTAGCCCGGTCCTGTGCTTGCTGCTGCCAATTTATACCCGCAAACTTTCTAATCTCATTTGCCCACCTAACCTTCTGTCTCCTCCTGACCCGCTTGCCTTCTCTGGGAATCCAGTTAGTTACCCTTAATGGCCAACGGTTATCCTGTCTACGCGCTACATACCCGGCTCATGTGCATTTCCTCTTCTTGATTTCAACTATGATATCCTTAACCCCTGTTTGTTCCCTAATTCACTCTGCTCTCTTCTTGTCTCTTAAAGTTACACCTACCATTTTTCTTTCCATTGCTCACTGCGTCGTCCTCAATTTAAGCTGAATCCTCTTTGTAAGTCTCCAGGTTTCTGCTCTGTAGCTAAGTACCGGCAAGGTACAACTGTTATATACCTTCCTCTTGAGGGATAGTGGCAATCTGCCTGTCATAATTTGAGAGTGCTTGCCAAATGTGCTCCACCCCATTCTTATTCTTGTAGTTATTTAAATCTTGTGGTTCCGCTCCGGGGCTATTACCTGCCCTAAGTAGACATAGTCTTTTGCAACTTGAAGTGCACTATTACCTATCTCGAAGCGCTGCGCTTTTCCGAGGTTGTTGTACATTACTTTAGTTTTCTGCAGATTAATTTTAAGACCCATCTTTCTGCTCTCCTTGTCTAACTCTGTAATCATGAGTTTCAATTCGTCCGCTAAGTTTTACTCAGCAGTGCAATGTCATCGGCGAAGCGCAGGTTACTAAGGTACTCTCCATTAACTCTTATCCCTAACTGTTCCCATTCTAGGCTTCTTATATGGGGCCTATTAATTTAGATTTTTTTTACCATGTCAAGGTAATATAAATGTTTTCACAATGCTTTTTTTTTTCACATGTTTTAAACACTCAAGAAGCTGCTAAAGCATTTCAAATAAGCAATAAAGGAATAAAATGAATTTGAAACCATAGGAGGAGTACTCCTTTGTGTCACATACTTGAATGTACAAGCTATGAAGATGGAAGGTGGACAAGTCTGTCCTGTGTATATAATAAAAACTGAGAAGGTGAACTGTTAGCTAGCAGTGCTGCTAATTTGTTGCATCTCCACATCATAAAACCATGTGTTTGAAACTGTCGAACATGGACTGCAGCAATATTGATCAATGCAGCAAATTTTCCATTTGCAATATACCTACTGCCACCTGAGCCAGTTGCTGAGAATGTTGGTAATGCAGCACAGCACACCTGATTGCAAAGTGAAGACGGAAGGTAGCTATTGCTGCTAGATTTTTTTAATCGCAAGATCGTCTGTCACAGTCCAATGCATTCACACATGCATTAGTTTAGTCGGTTGGGCACAGTGACTGCTCATTGAGCTTCATCGATTTTCCAAGTCTCGGACCACTCGCCGGTGGCCCGCAGGTGCCTTGGCTTATAGGCAGCTATGTCACATGCACATGATCGAAAAGTCCCGAGCCAGCCCAGGCGGCCTCGGGCCATCAGCGTGCTTGATGCTGTCTGCGTCCGCTGTAGCGTCTGCTATGCCGTCTGCTCCCTCTTTGGCTTTGACACAGGCCACAATGCCGACTCGATTCCAACCTAAACAGCCGTTAGGTAGAGAATTAAACTTATTTCCGTTGTGATGCAACTTACTGTAAGTGAACTGCTCGAGCACGCACGCATCGTAGATCTGCGCGGTCGTTCCACCGCTGTTTCTCCTAGCGAGTATAACGCATGTTTGCCAGACCTTCGGGAATCGCACATGCTGGTCGTGGCTCAGAACACTGATGACAAAAACTGGGTGTGCAAACAATGCGAAATCCAGAAACATGCGAGAAGCGGACAGAAAAGCAAAGAGAGAGCAAGAGCGCTTCGAAAATTTTTCGTGTCTAACTTGAGATGGCCCCACATGCATGCACACCACACTGTCGTCTGCCAGCTGCCCGAAAAAATCGTTCGGGCAGTCCTGGGTCACCCGCAAGCCGCCTGGAACGCAAAAAACGAACATGCGTCCGGAGTGATCCCGGACCAGTGGGTGTTGGGACAGTCACGGGCCATACACAAGCCGCCTGGAACGCGAAAAATGAACATGCGTCCGAGCGATCTTGGACCAGTGGGTGGAGCTTCCGGTTGGTCTCCAAGAAAAACTAATGCGGCGTCGGCATCCGGGGCCGTCCGGGATCGATGAAGCTCATAAAATCGAGGATGCTCGTTATTAAATTGACATAAATGCAAGTTGTGCAAATGCTAGAGCACAGCAGAGTGACCATGGTCGCATCTGTGTGTTGCGCTGTAGTAAGCAGCTGGACATCGTAAGAGCATCGCATTTTTTTTAGTTTACTGTACAAAACTGAAAGTTGCATGAGTTAAAACTGGTAAGTAGTTTCATTTTTTCCATGACTCATTTGCCTTGAAGTACACTGCCTCAAGTGCTAGATCTGTGAATGGTTACATTGTTGAATCGTTGTTTGTGATTATTTACTATGTATCAACTTATCTTTTCTATTCTTTCAATTTATTGTTAGGTGGAGCTGACTAACATCCAAAAGAAGTACTATCGGGCCATTTTGGAACGCAATTTTGCCTTCTTGACGAAAGGTGGAGTGGGCACAAATGTCCCGAATCTCATGAACACCATGATGGAGCTACGGAAGTGCTGCATTCATCCTTACCTAATCAAAGGTACATTCAAACGTGATGTTTCACTGAAGTGCTTTGCATCTTTCTTGCACCTTTGTTTTTCCTGTAATTGCACTTTAAACATTAGTAAGGCAGTGTTTAAGATAGCAAATCAGTGAGGTCAAGTGGGTATAGTGCTAAGCACTTTGCTACATTGTAGGTCTACTGGGCCTGTAAATATTCTGAAACGATAGCAAAAGGTGACAGAATCGCCTTTGGTGACGTAGAATTTGATGTGTTCAATAACCATCCAGTGCGATGTCATCGTTGCACTCTTTGCTCGGTTACAAATGACTTACATTATGGGAGTGAGAGTACTCTACAAGCTTAGAGCGACCAGAGTGGGGCTTTTTCGTGCTTATGTTGACTTCTATGCAGTGGCGAGGCTTGGCTGTGACTACTTGAAATATAAAAAGTGTTGAAAGTGCTTTCGTCACGTTTTCTGCAATTGTTTAAAGCACTGTATCATATTTAAGGGGGGACGTGGCAATAATAATGGTAAAGTTGGTTAAAATGTTAAATTTTAGATTGATTTTTTTCTGCAATCCTGAGACCATGTTTTACATCATGGTGAAATATTACAGAGCGTTTCTTTCCATCAGTCACCTGCGCTTCAATTTAATGCACGCCCCCTCTTATAGGCAATGTTGATGTCAGAAAGTTTATACAAAACAGTAAAACATCTCATTTTTAACAGAACAAAGTTTAGTAAAGCTTAGCAAAACAAAACCTCACTGTGCCACCTAAGAGCGGCAAGCTCGGGTGTGATTAAGCCGGCACCTGAAGTAGTGGTGCACATGGACGTATGGCTGAAGAATATCAAAATGATCTATACAAATGCAGATGACCAAGAAACTATTGGTTATATTAAGATAGTTTTAGGCCACGTTTTTGCCACGCGTTGCAGGTTTATGTTTCGATACGTTTGGTTAAGCTTATTCAACGATGCACATCATGCACATCATAATCGTGTTTTGTTAGTGTCAAGCACTGTTGTAAGTCATCTGGAAAAAATGCAGCGTTTCGAAAACACCATGGCTTTTGTTCAAAGCATTCTTCAGCTTAAGATGGAAGAGGGGAGGGGTCCACTTCAGGCATTCATGTTCTATCTTCCAAGGTCCTGTGCTAGTGTAAGAGCATTCTAATTCGTCATTTTGTTTGCAAATATATACGGATTGCCTGAAAGTGTGTCACTTTGTATTGAATTTATGGCATTAAGGGGGCAGACTGGTCTTAGACATTATTTATTTCTTCAGTGATCTTGATCAAACTGCACAGGATTATGAAGTTTTTTCTTCTGATTTCAAATATTTAATTAGTTTTCCTGTAACTCATCTTGTTCCTGACATAACTTAAGTTCACCCCCTATTGTTTAGGGCTGCCATAGAAAAAAAGTGCTTAATTAAATGTGATATTTAAGATATGCCAACATAAACTAATGACTATAGATTGAAAGCATGCAATCGTTTTTTTTTGTTTTTAGACCATTCTTGGTTATTTTACAGCAAAATGAACTATCCATTTTCAAAAGCAGTTATAATTGTGTTACAATTTTATTTAATAAAAAGGCTTGTACTCTAAATTCTGCTCTCATACTTGCATTCTACATACATACAGGTTTCCATTGCAAAAAGAATTAAAAAGAATTATTTTTTTACCTGCCCTAGCTGCAGAGATATTGAGGCCTCAATATTGAGCAGTAGTAAATTTACTTTTTTGAGAAAAATGGAAAAAACTGAAAACACGCAGCTTCTTCAAAGAGCAACAATCATGGTGCGCATATTTTGCAATGCTCATAAAGGCGCTCATAAATTCATAGCAGAGCTTCTAACATAGGTCCAGGCAAATTATAAAAAAGCCTTGAAGTCGGTTCCCCATTTTTTTTTTTTTTTTTTTCAGGTTCTGCATGTTAACCGCACCAAGAAAGAATCTGGACAGTTAGAATGACATTACAAAACAAGTTACCACTTCCTGGTGTGTGAAAATTTGCAGAGAGATAGAGAAATACTTGCAGAAACGAAATATGTAAATTCTAAAAACTGAATTTTTTTGTCACTTTTTGGTCCCAAAGACCAGTCAGCCCCCTTAGAGCTGAGTGAAGTGCACCAGAAATGCGTTTTTATGGAAACGTATTCCTCAAAGTTCCAAAACTGCTTGTTTTATGCAAATATGGTCCCTTTCAAATGACTCAGAAGCTCAGGCCCACTTTTCTTTAGCCCAATTCTTCATGTGTTTATCGCCTAAGTGCATCCTCGGTAAGCTGCGATTGTACCCATAATGTCGCTGCTAATAAAATAATGTAACATGTTTATTAATACTCGTTTTCTATGATCCGCACGGTTGTTTTTCTGAGTTTTTAAGAAAAAAATGAAGATGGGGTTTTTTAGATATTGACTTCTCAATAGATTTCTCAATAGGCTTGACTGTCGCGGGAATTGAAAGTTTGAGGCCATATATAATAACATTTTCACGGGGTCGGGACGTGGATGACTGGAGCAGACTGCAGGTCGAATAATAAACTGTTTATTAGGGCCGAACTTGTGGCCACGTGAAAGGAAAGTTAAATTACAGCAAGACACTGGCACTGATAGCGGCAAGTAGAGCGTCGGCCGTCGATAAATTGACAAGTGGTAAGTGCTTCGGCATTTATACACTCGCTATCGAATGTTCTAGTGTTATCGCTAGCGGGGACGTAGGTTCCAGAATACTCTGTAATGTTCACGAAGTGGGCGTAATCTTAACAAAACGATCTGCTACAGCCTCGAAGCTTCTCGAACATCGTAGGCGCAGTTTGCGCTGAGCGTAGTGTAACGGGGTGATAAAAAAACCTGAGAAAAGGAACGTGGCGTTGCCCCCCCTCTGAAAAAGGCATTGTCCCGATGCTTTAGCAAAAGACGAAGGTACAATAATAAAGACAATAAGTATAAGCAATAAAGTGCAGCAACAACAACAAAATACAGTCCTCAGGTTTGTGCATGAAATGGCTTGAGGCACACGACATGGACGACTTCAGGTCGAGCACGGCGCTGTTGAAAGTTTGTACAGTCGACTCTCCATAATTCGAAGTCGCTTAATTAAAATTATCGGTTAATTGGAAGTGGAGTGGGGGTCCCGTTAGTTTTGCGTGCAGTTCAACAGGAAGAAATTCTCGTTAATTGGAAGCTGTAGGTCTGAAATTTTGGTTAATTCGAATTTATTTTCTATCGAATTCCCGGAGGAAATCGTAATGCTTGTTAAATTTCCTATTTTCGAAGTGCTAAACAACAATGCGTGTCCGATCGGCACCCAAAGGCATCGCAGTTGACCACAGCGCCGCAGCTCAAAGCGTCAGCTGATGGCATCGCAGTTGCATGCAGTGCCCCAGATCACGAAACGGCTGCTCTGGCGGTTCCGGTTCCGGGCCTCATTGTTGATCTCGTTACGGTCGTGTGCGGACTCGGCGTTTCCACGTGCGACGAAGCTCCACGTGCATTTACTATGGCAACTCGCGGGCCTTATCAGACGCTTGACTTGGCGTCTTGTACAGTGGGAGAAGAAGACACAAGTGAGCTTGACGTTGATGGTCTCCTGCCAGCTCTCGGTGACGTCCCTTTCGAGGAGTACATTGCCACTGATAGTTCGGTAGAAACGTGCGGTGCACTGTCGGACGCTGAGATCGTGGGGATGGTTCGGCCCAGCGAGCCTAGTCACGAAACTGAGGTTGACGACGCCGCCGCAAGTGAGCCACTACCGCGGGCTGCTGATTAGCCGCAGGCCTTGCCCTTGCGCAGCGGTTTTTCACTGCTGAGAGCAACGCCGATGAAGCACTCGGGCACATATACAGCCTGCAGGACTTGCTTTCTGCTGCAAGATTCAGCAAACAGAAGCAAACGGCAATCACAGATTTTTTCTCATAAACTGCTTTGAAATAAATGTATTTTTTGTTCATTGTGGTTAATTGGAATTACGCTTAATTCGAAGTTTTTCGCGGTCCCCATGAACTTCGTATTAACGAGAGTCGACTGTAATGCCATTGGGAACAACCTCGTAGTCAAGTAGGCCGAGACGTCGAACTACTCTGTACGATCCGAAGTACCGTCGTAGAGGTTTTTCACTGAGTCCATGTCGGCGTATCGGCATCGATACACAGACACGGTCACTGGGTTGGTATCCAAGAAGCTTCGTCGAAAATTGTAATGGCGGCTTTCGTTCGCCTGCTGATTCTTGATGCGCAAGCGGGCGAGTTGACGAGCTTCTTCCACGCGCTGAAAGTAGACGATGACATCGAGCTTTTCTTCATCAGCAACGTTTGAAAGCATGGCATCGAGCGTCGTTGTCGGATTTCTTCCGTCGACCAACTTGTACGGTGTCATTTGTGCCGTTTCTTGTACGACTATGTTGTATGCGAAGGTTACGTACAGAAGAATGGCATCCCACATCTTGTGTTCGACGTTGATGTACATGGCCAACATGTCAGCGATGGTCTTGTTTAGATGCTGGGTGAGACCATTGGTTTGTGGGTGGTACGCTGTTGTACGGCGGGGACTTGTCTGGCTGTATGCCAAAATCGCTTGGGTTAGCTCAGCAGCAAATGCCGTACCTCTGTCTGTGATGAGGACCTCCGGGGTGCCGTGATGCAGGACAATGTTTTCAACGAAGAATTTGGTGGCTACCTCAGATGCGCTACCTTTCGGCAGGGCGTTCGTCTCGGCGTAGTGGGTAAGGTAGTCGGTAGCTATGACGATCCATTTGTTTCCGACAGCCGACGTCGGGAATGGCCCAAGTAAGTCCATGCCGATTCGCTGGAACTGACGGCGAGGTGGTTCGATGGGCTGCAGAAGTCCTGCTGGCCTTGTCGGTGGTGTCTTGCGTCGCTGTCAGTCCCGTCGTGGCCAGTAGTAATTCTCTTGTATTCTCGCAAGTGTGCGGAAACAACCAAGGTGGCCAGCCGATGGATCGTCGTGCAGGGCCTGCATAATTTCCGGTCGCATTGCCGAAGGCACGACGATAAGGTAGCAGGTTCGGGCAGGAGAGAAGTTCTTCACGAAGACGTTGTTCTTCAAGCAAAATGACGCCAATCCTCGTCTGAAGACTTTTGGGACGACACTGGTTCTACTAGCCCTCTCATTTCTGTCTCGCCTCGCTGTCGCTCGATGAAGATACAATGCAGTCAAGAAACAGAAAGACAGACGGCAGCGTGAGCGCTAACTTCGAAGTTTTGTCTAATGCATGCTCTTACAACACATGCTTGTTCATGCTCGTTCTGTGTTCATGAGTTGCGGAACCGGAAGTTCACTCTTCGAATTACGATTGCGGGCCGTACTCGTCGTGAACATCGCACGCGCACGTCTTGAACTGATTGTCATAGCGTTGACTCATTGGCGAGAAGGTTCTGTTTATCAGCGTTTTGGACCTTGTGACGAAGACCACCGCGGGACAGTTTTTTGTACTCGCGATCGAGCATGTCGTACTTTGAAACATTGAGGACCGTGACCATGCACATTGCAGCCGTGCTTTCTGCTTGAAGTCGGGGCTAGGCCTAACTCTGCCCCGCACTTGGCGTGCTAGCAGGTATGTGAAAGAGAGATGCCGCAGTGTGTTTCGTCGCAAGGAACAAGTCACATTGGCCGCTGGTTCCTTAGAGCCGCGAATCTTGTGCATCGGTAGCAAACCCCAGCCATGTTCGCCACGCATCGATCGCTCGGAACAGTGGTGGGAGCGGCCAGCAATTTCGCGCGTCCGCGCCCAAACACGCGAAATGGGGCACGCTGCACACCATTTGATTTTTCGCTGCTGTAGCTAGGCTAGGCATAGCTAGGCATAATTCGTCATTAACAGACCGGAGATATGCGGCCTTCGCTTTTAAATTGGTACGTCGATATCCACGGTTCTATTTCTGTCTCGAAAGTATGCCAAGCGTTGTTTTAAAGTCGGAAGTTGTTGAATTTGGGTTACCGTGGTAGAAAAACTGCTAATAAAGGAGCCCCGACCACCTTGCCGGCCTCTCATTTCAATTATATCTGAATGTTTGTTGTGTAGAATCCGTAGTAAATGAAGCTCTATCAATGGAACAATTGGAAGGTCGGCATAACACCGTAAATTAGTTTATAGTTACCGAATGTCTGTTTAAAGTAAGTCCTTCATTATGTGATACCATACACTCAAATATCATTAAAACGAAGTTGCATCTTACACGAAAATAAGTCCGTCATATCCGTAAATTTGTTATAAAGGTGAATTCCTAACACAATATCAATTGCGAGCCTATTTTTCATTTACTTTCTTATAACCAATATTTTGTTATATCTGGGTTGATTATATCGAGCTTTGAGCATAGTACTGCAGGTTGTGGTTGATTTCGATTTCATTCGCTTGTATTGTTAACGTGTTTAGAATATTTATGTTCACAAGAAATGTGAATGGGATAAACATTTTGATGGTCCAGTGTACATTTTAGTGTTGTATTACGAGCATATCTTTCTTAAGGAACGAAATGGCGCTTTTGCGGCCACATAATGACCTATTATGTCATGGATGCCATGTTTACCATGGAAAAGGGCGTGCTGTCTAAGAAATAGAAGGCACTCTTGCCTAGTGAACAATAACTGTATTTTACCTACGCAATTCCTGCAACTGTTCCAGTCTCGTATTAAATAAAGCAGCATTTATTTCAGTAAGGCAAAATGATAAAAGTTACCGGTAAAGTTAAGTACTATTTCTTGGCATGGTAGCCGGCATGCGCTTTCCATCAGTAGCTTCCCCAGCTCTGTCAAGAAGAGTTGTTGCAGAGTGTAGAACCTATGGTCTGTGTCACTGAAATTCTACCTTATAACAATGTTGATAAGGTGTACTCCTGTATTCCAGGCATGCAAGGAGGCATGCGAGGAGCTGCATCATGTTTACGAAAATATTAGATGATGCTCGCACTTTTCCTGTTTCGCTCAATAGCCAACCAGCTTGCACCAAAGGGGACAGTTGCTTTTGCAATTGTTCAGAAAGGGAACAGTTGCTTTTGCAATTGTTCAGAATACAGCCCCTGTAGTGTACTCCAAATTATTTGGGGCAGCTGTTCTAGCATTTGGATGATTAGTGTTATTGATTTGTATATTTAGTGGATGCTAAGCTAGAGAGGGAAATGTTGAACTGCTGGACTGTTGTTGATAAAAATTTCAGGGATGGCTTATCTTCTCATTATGCCAACGGATTCTAAATTTTGGCACCCTAGCAGGTTTACAAGAAACCTTGTACCTGTTACAATGATCAGTGTGGCATTCCATCTTAAGAAAATTATCATTTTAAAAGTAATGAAAATATAAATTCTTTATAACTTCGTGTTGCATAGGAGTGTGCATTGTGCTTTTACATAGGATTGGATACAATTCTATGCAAAAGTTGCATAGGATTGTGTGTCTGAAGTGAGAAATTATTGTGCAGGAGCAGAGGAGCAGATCCTGCAGGAGTACCGGCTTCAGCATGGCGACTCCTTGGACATGACACTCAATGCCCTGGTGCAAGCATCTGGGAAGCTGGTGTTGCTAGACAAACTACTTCCTAAGCTTAAGGATGGTGGCCATCGTGTGCTCGTTTTCTCTCAGATGGTGCGCTGCCTGGACCTGCTTGAAGATTACCTTGTCCACAAAAGGTCAGCACTCTTGTGATCGCATACTTTGGGTGAATGTTATATAGATGATTTAAAAATGCTGTCTGCTGTGATGATTTGCCATGCTAATACTGAGTGGTGTCATTTTTTGACGACCACTATGGGTGAAATCTTTCTCATTTACTCTGAGCTTGACAGCTGATGATATATAGCCCATATTTATTTATTTTGAATGGGGCGCTGTTTTTTTTTTAAATCTTCATACGTTCTTCATGCAGGTATCCCTATGAACGAATCGATGGGAGAGTTCGTGGAAACCTTCGTCAGGCTGCCATTGATAGGTTTTGCAAACCAGGTTTGTTTTATTTGCTACTAATTTATGTATGCAGTCTGCACCCATTACCAGATATTCGCATACAATGTACCTAGGGGTATTATAGACCATTTTTTCTCACTTATTTTGGGCTGCCTTACAGCGGACTCGTGATAATTAAAACAAATTTCAACATTTTTGGTTGTTCTGCTGCGTTTTCAAAGCATTTTGAATCTGCTTGATTCAAACTGCTCTATTGCATTTATCCAGTTTAAATTCTTAATTTATGTTTATTTGTGCTGAGAAATGTCTGCTACCTTTGTTGCTTCTAGCTGAAAGTTTGCAATCTTGTATCAATAACAGTTGGATATGAAGCCAATTGTCTGCATACGAAGTGGCCAAACTACCTAAATAACTATGCCGCGCTGTCAGAGCTGCAGCTTTTCGCATTCTCTTGTGTTTGGCTGGATGCCGCTACAGTAAAAGCTCGATAATTCTACACCCGTTAATTCGGAAATTCGGATGATTCGGACGGCTCTATTGGTCCCGGCCAAAGGGCATGTTAATCTATGGGACCAAACCTTCGTTATTTCGTCGGAATTCGGCTCCGCACTGCTTAATTCGGACAAATGCCGACGGCTGCTGCTACAAAAGTGTGATAAAGCAGCGCTGGCACCACTGGAGTGAAACCGAAACCTGAGTGGCATCGCCATCATCATTAACTAGTGGGGGCGATCGCAGCGTCACCGAATGTCGGCGTCTTCTTTCTTCTCCACTCAGCGCCTCCGACGTCATTTTCCCTTGTGTTGTCGTGTCGGAACCATCTCTTCTTGCGGAGTTCTCTTTTTCTTCCATTGTGACCGTATTTGCATGCCACCACCATCGTGCGCTACAGTGATGGCAACGCCGAAAAAGCGGCAGAACTACGACTCGAAGAACTTGGCGACTAAACTGGAAATTTTGGAAGCACTGAAGAACGGCGAATCGCGACAGCAGGTTATGACCAAGTACAACGTGAAGCGGAGCACGTTGGGAACGTAAGTGAAAAATTAACAACAGATTCGACAAGCCTTCGAAAGCGAGAAGTTTCATGCCTCTAGAAAGCGGTTGCGAACCGCAGCTCATCCCCAGCTCGAAGAAGCTTTGCTCCGGTGCATTACTGACTGTCACAACGCGCATCTGCCTTTGAGCAGACCTCTCATCATGGCGCAAGGTGAGAAGTACGCTGCAATGATGAACATTGAATCGTTCAAAGCGTCAGAAGGGTGGTTTGCGAGGTTTCGAGAGAGACACGAACTTGTCTTCAGGAGTGTGTGCGGTGAAAAGGCCAGTGTTGACGAAAGCGTGACCTCTGAGTGGAGAAATGTGAAGCTGCTGGAGCACATCGCCGCATATGAACCACGTGACGTGTTCAATGCAGATGAAACTGCTCTATTTTTCAGAGCCCTGCCCGACAAGACGGTGACTTTTAAAGGGGACGCGTGCATTGGTGGCAAGAAGTGCAAGCAAAGGATAACTGTGCTTCTTGCCACCAATATGACTGGCACGGAGCGCTTGCCACTACTTGTCATCGGGAAGGCGCTTAAGCCACGTTGTTTTAAGAACGTCAAAAGCCTTCCTGTCAAGTACACAGCGAACAGGAAGGCATGGATGACATCGGACATTTTTCGCGGCTGGCTGCAGCAGTTGGACCGGCACTTCACGTTGAAGGACCGCAAGATAATTATGGTTGTTGACAACTGCAGTGCCCATAACTGTACAGTCGAACTGAAGAGCATAAAAGTAGTTTTTTTGCTGCCCAACACTACGTCTGCTCTTCAGCCGATGGACCAGGGTATTATTCACTATGTGAAGTCGAAGTACTGCAAGCACCTGCTAGAGCGAATGATCCTATGCTTACAAGCTGGAAAGTTGTATCAAGTGGACTTACTCGGCGCAGTGCACATCATCGCCCACGTGTGGAAAAACACTCCGCCGCAAGTCATCGCAAACTGTTTTTGGCACAGCGGTTTTGTGAGGCCTGAGCATGCAGCAGTAGCTGAAGATGGCATCGAGGTGTCAGCCGAGTCCACCGACGATGACTGCCCGACTTTCGATGCTGTCCCTCCCACAGATGTGACCTTTCAGGACTACATCGCGATTGATCATGGTGTCGCCACGAGTGGTCTCCTGACCGATCAAGAGATTATTAATGATGTCACGTCAAATCGTGATGAAGACCACGATTTTGACGAAGAATCATGCGAGGAGATATTGCCGCGACCTCATCGCACCTCACGGGAAGTCTCGGAGGCGCTGTTAATATTAAAGGACGCTTGCCTGAACACTCCCGACAGCTTGCGTGCTGTTGGCCATTTGGAACAGTTACGAAAAATTGTGATGTCAGCCGGAATCTGCGCGAAAACGCAGACAATTACAAAATACTTCAACAAATAAAAGTATGCTTCTGCAGCTTGATTTTAAATGTTGTTTTCCCTGTTCACTCGTTAATTCGGCATTCGGTTAATTCGGACAGTTTTTCCGGTCCCGTGAAATCCGAATTAACGAGCTTTTACTTTAGTATCGTTTTTCTTCAATGGTTTTCTTCGTAACATTGCCATCGTGTTGCTCGCTGTTTGTTTCCGACGCATGGCTCTTCTGCGAAACGACACGTCCATGCATCCAGTACCTAGTGCAACATTCGAGGACGAGTTCTGCGACGAAAAAACCCAAGATATGTTGACTCTTCAGGTCAAAATAGCCATCCTTGACCCCGTATCTGGAAACCGGAAAAAGAAGGATGAAGTTGCAAAATTTGGTACCCAACTAGTTCTGTCTACAATTTTAAACACTTAAGATGCGATTCACAGCGCTGTCGAGCGTGGAAGAGATGGCAAGAAGAAAAGGTTGAAGTCACAAACATACGCCAACGTCGACAAAGCTTTGTTTATGGACATGCGGGCATGAAAATTACCTTGTCAGGGCTCTGTTCTGCAGCAAAAAGCAAGGGATTGTGCTTGAATCCTGGGCTTCGATGGTTAAAAGGCAAGAAGAGGTGGCTCGGAGGTTTTAAATGTAGGTGCGGGATCATCGGCAAAGTGATCACTCGTGAGTTCTCTTCTGCGAATAGAGATGGCGCCGTCTTGTGGATCCAACAAGCTTCCAGGTATTTCAGAGTGCTATGAAGTGTCGGATGTGTGAAAAGCTGATGAAATTGCATTTTTCTATCAGTTGCATTCGAACCGTACCTAAATGCTTAAAAGGATACTGAACAAGAATTGGAAAAACCGACGAAACTTTAAACGTTCGACTCGGAGAATGCCACTGTTCTGATAAACGGAGTTTAGTTCCCCTAAATTTGAACAGTTGGTTGTATTTTTGATGGATTGTCAGCGCGTGGCAACTGCTCGTGACGGCGAGCCGCTACATCACACTCATCGAGGAGCATGCAGGATGGACGTGTTCTTGTCCTCCGCTTCATTTTCTCCACCTCTTCTTTCATCCCACTCTTTGCCTTCCACAAAAGCGCCCCAAATGGAAGCATTGTTCACTACTGTTGCTGTTCATATTGATTATGGGAACTGAAGTAGGAGTTGAGCAAGTCAAGAGATGCGGGCTACAGCTGGCATTATCGATTGATTGATTGATATGTGGTGTTTAACTTCCCAGAACCACCATATGATTATAGAGACGCTGTAGGGGAGGACTCCAGAAATTTCGACCACCTGAGGTTCTTAAACGTTCACCCAAATCTGAGCACACGGGCCTACAGCATTTTCGCCTTCATCGAAAATACGGCCGCCGCAGCCGAGATTTGATCCCACGACCTGCTGGTCAGCAGCCGAGTACCTTAACCATTGGACCACTGCGGTGGGGCGGCTGGCATTGTTGACTTACCTGTTTCGGGTGTGTGTGACGTCACCAAATGTCGCCTTTTCTAGTTCACAGCAGGGCCGCTAGATGCGGCAATTTGAGAAAAACGAATTCAATTCATCATTTTTCCGTAGTTTCTGCCTGGAATGAAGGTTGTCTCTACCAATTTAGCTGAAAATCGTGGCGACAAAAATTTTGTTATGTATTGCCCTTCAAAAGAGGCGTCTTCTATGGCAGAGAACAGAGCATACAGAGAGAGTCTTGCTGGTCACCGGCAAAAGTGCCCGACCTAGATGTTTCAAAGGAACCCGCAGGATGCCCGTAAAATATGTGGTGAACACGAAAGCTTGAATGACGTGCAATATATTTAGTGGCTGGCTAGCTGAAGGGGGGACGTGGCAAGTAAAACTAATTTTTTTATTAATGTACTGTTTGTGATGAAATTTGGTGTGTGTATGTGGATGATTGTGAGGATTCCAAATATGAAAACCGTTTTCAAATACCTCTTGTACTTTTTGAGTTACAAGCATAATTATACTAATTAATGCTCTTCACACTTAAAGAGATAATTATTGCTAAATGAAATTATTTTTTCATATTATTATGTTCCCAAAGCATCAACTTGTGCAAAGAAGCTATTAGTTGATTTTTCTAGTTCTTGTAACCATAAATAAAATTTCCAAAACATGGATGTTGTTTTGCGCACACATCGCAGTAATTATAAATGTGTTCTAAAAATTTTAAATGATGAGTAAGAAGAGAGATAAAGCTTTATTGCACTGCTAAAGGCCTCCTGAGCCTAGTGCAAAAAACGGAACGACTCTATCAGTCTTTGTTAAAAAATGACAGATGTTCTAGCGAAGGCACATAGGCGAAAATCAAGAGTTGAGAAAACTGACTTTGAAAGTTCACTCTTGTTTGGAAGTTCACAACATGCCTAAAACACTCAGAATCCTCCTGGGCAGTAATCCTGAGATGCTGTGGCCTTGGCCTCTGTAGAGCGCAACCCAGTTTTGCGCTTCTTTGTCGTGGAACAATGCGCCTTTTGAGCCCTCTTCACCCTTTTGGCATCCTTTTCGGCTGCTCGCCGCAAAGAGCAGTCTCCTGGATTGAAGCCCAGTTGAGCAGTGATATCTTGCAGCGCACTCTTAAAACATAAAAATGTCATTTATGGCAGATTGTTTTCTGCCAACTGACTGCACAGCCCTCAAAGCACGCACGTTTACCTCAAAGGGGTTCGTTTTTTGTTGCCCGGAGCACCTCGGGGACGACCACGCACTGTTCACTATGCCACAATTGTCACAAAAAAGTTCCATCCTCGCCGCGAGTCCAAGGCAGTGCGTAGTCTCGAGGCGTATCGACCCTTCGTCGCACTTGTTGCACTTTACTGACGAAAGCAGACCGTTCAGCATCTTCTTATTTACAATGAAGAATGTGGAGTCCTTACCGCCGTCATTTTCGTCGCAGCCTTCGTTCAGAAGCTCGAGCTTCCGCTTTGAAGCGGACTTCGATGCTACGGCATCCAAAACATCCCGCCTTGTCTGCGCCCGCTGCGCGATTTCTTCACTGCTCGGAATCTGGGCCGAAACTCGCGATAGAATGTTCGACGCGCGCACGCCCGGAGTTGCAACGGCTGCCGACGCGGTGCCACCGCAATCGGTTCGCGAGAGCGTCCATCACGGTCGACGGCATCCGGCGGTCTGACATACGACGATGTGGCACATTCCACACTCTCGGCCTCACAACAATCAGCGAAGGGTCTGAGTAGAGGCTCCGTGACGCTTGAAGAGCATGCTCCGTTCGGAACTGCGACTGGGACGGCAGCCGCAGTCGTCTGCCCTTTGTTCCAAGCTTTCCGACGCTTGCCGTACTTGTGGACGCTCCGGAACTTTTTTTGCGACAACATAGCACCGCAGTATGAGCAAGCACTCAGAAGAGACCACTGATGTAAACAAAGCTTGGTAAAAAAAGCACGCGAACTATCACAAAAACAGCCAACTGGCAAAAAACGAAGCGCACGCCGGATGATTCTCGACTCGGCGGCCGCAGATGCGCTCGCGCTTCCAAGGTTGCCAAGGTGCGCGGCGCAGCTTTGACCAGTAAGAGGTCGCGCCTGCTACCACGTGACCCGCGCAGCCAATTGCCGTTCTTATTTTCACTCGGCGAAATACGAGACCGCGACCATCGGGAAGCCGGCTTTCTCCTCTTTCCAAAGCTACCAAAATGGCGGCCCACGGTCAACAACTTGGCGCGTTTGTGCGGCGTGAACAACACCGTTTCAGGGGCTTTTTTTTCGCACTTTTCGGCGACTAGCCTCGGCAAAAACACTATTTGCGGGATTTGTAGCGCACGTTTCGCTGTAATATTTTAGAACAAGGAAGTTGAAGGTCTGAAGATTACGAAAAAAAATAAATCAGAAAATCGCATATTTTGACCAAAATCGGCACTTTACTTGCCGCGCCCCCCCTGAATTCAACAATGATGCCAGGAGTCAATTACGCAAGATTTGTGTATTCATAGACAACTGCACTGCACACCACATAGATTGGCTCGAGCTCTGCAACTTATAACTGTAGTTTTTACCAGCGATCTGTACATTGCTCATCCAGTCACTTGATAAAGGAATTATTAACAATGTCAAGTGCTCGTACTGCTGACGACATCCAAAGACTGCTCCTGAACATTCGTCTGCTGTGAGAGAGAAAGGTAGACCTTGTTCAAGCAGTTGAATTGCTTGAAGCGTCCTGCTGAAAAAACAAGGGCTGAAATTGTTGCGAACTGTTTCCGCATGGCTTGGGTAACAAAAGAGTTTCAGGTTGAGCAAATCGACGCCGAAGAGGAGTAACTTTCTTGCCCATCCGATCTCATCGAAGCTTGGATCTTGCTGAGCATAAATGGAGGAGCCCCTGTACGATGTGCAGATTTGGGATTTTTTAACTGCGCTATCGCATCTGTGGAAATGGCAGATGAGGCTCTGGCAGAAACTGTCAAGAGACCGCAGTGACGACAACAATCCATAAAAGGACGACTCAACATGCGCAATGCCCTCCACGAAAGAGGTGCGGGAAACCATAAACATTTCGCGCCCCGCTGTGGGCTTAGTGGACGAAGATGGAGCAGCATTGTGGTCATTGACGTCGTACGAACGGTCACTGCTGCCATTCATCATGAACAAGCAAGAAAGCAAAATCGTGCAGTTTTTTACCGAGAAATGAATGTTTTTGGCGAGCTCTGCTGTCTGTTACCTCTCTTGCTTACTTGAGCCTTTCTTTTCCTTAAAATTTTCATACTGAATCTGCATATGATGAAATTCTCTTTATAACGAAGTTTTTTTGGGAGTTTGTCAATATTGTTTTATCTAGATTTAACTGTAAACAGATAGGTGCACATTAGTTCGCACCTACCAATCCCCCTTCCCTCCCCGTCTCCTGTGAAGGCAGGTTCACTACAGAGAAGGGGTGGCATAGCGCAAGTACAAAGAAAAATCCACACTGCCCTGAAGCCACACTTCAAGGTTAAATGAACATGTTACTCTCGCATCGATTCTTCCTTTTTTTTTAGTTTAAAGGCTTGTTACGCTGCCTTATATACTTTAAGTATAGTAAATTTTAAAAGTAGCGTATTTTTACAGGTTATTTGCATTCTACAAAAAGTAAAATCTCACTACTATTCAAACTTGCTTTCACTTCCTTTGAATCGTAAAGAATGACATCTGCCTTGTTTCAATTTTAAAAAATATTGTGCAGGTTAGTTGGGTCATGACAAATGATGCCAGTTTTTCTTGTAATATGTTATATGTACTATTGGATTCAGAATAATTTGAATGACACCACTACTTGCACAAGCCTAATAAAAACCCACTTGTGCACAAGCAACAAAGGCAGCAGATATTTCCAAGCATGAGCAAAAAGTTGGAATTAACTGAATTTGGGCACTGAAATAATATGAATGAAGTGACTTTAAGATGCATTGAACACATAGTAGGCCAACCAAAAATTTAAGATTTGTTTGAATGAACCAGAAGTTTTAATTAAAGTTTGAATTATCAAGTGGTTTTGGCGCATACCTAAGTGGTTATTATTATTATTAGTGTAACAGATATTGACTGCATGCACTTGGCAATAATTATGCATAGTTTTGTCTTGTACACCTGACCGTGTTAGTTGTAGGTATTAATTTTTCTTCGATGGTGAACTTGTAAAGCCTATATGAATGTGCCTGAGAAGCTGATGTCAATATTTTTTCTTTCTTTTCAGATTCTGACAGATTTGTGTTTCTGTTGTGTACAAGGGCAGGTGGCTTGGGCATCAATCTCACTGCAGCTGACACTGTAGTAATTTTCGACTCCGATTGGAACCCACAAAATGACCTTCAGGTCTGTTACTCAAGCACATTTGTATTACTGACCTGAAAAGCTTAAAGCTTTTTCATTTATTCCATGAAGGCTGATTGTTTTATTTGCATTTTCTTTATACAGGCGCAGGCTCGTTGCCACAGAATTGGACAATCAAAGGCTGTCAAGGTGTACCGTCTCATATGTCGGAACACATATGAGCGAGAAATGTTCGACAAAGCCAGCCTGAAGCTTGGTCTGGACAGGGCAGTCTTGCAGTCAATGAACTCTCAAAAGGAGAGTGTTGGAACCAATCAGCAGCTTACTAAGCAAGAAATTGAAGATCTTCTTCGTAAGGGTGCCTATGGTGCCATTATGGATGATGATGGTGAAGGCAACAATTTCTGCGAAGAAGACATTGACCAAATTTTGCTACGTCGCACACACACCATCACCATAGAATCTGAAGGGAAAGGTTCTACATTCTCCAAGGCCTCCTTTACTGCTTCATCCACGCGCAGCGATATAGAAATTGATGATCCCAACTTCTGGGAAAAGTGGGCCAAGAAGGCAAACTTGGATGTGGATGAGCTGAAAGGCAGAAATGAGCTAATCTTGCAAGAACCTCGGAGGCGCACTCAGACTAAGCGTTTTGGCACTGATGACAACATGTTGGACTTGTCAGAGCTGGAGTCTAGCGATGAGGATGATGAAACAGGAGTCCGGACTCGGGGAAGCCGGCGTTCACGTCACCGTGACTCTCCCATAATTGGTGGCCGAGCACGTCGTGGTGGCCGAGCCAGTCGTGGTTTCTGTGAGGATGAATTCTTAGGTGATATTGCACCTGGAAACTGGACACGCACTGAGTGCTTCCAAGTGGAGAAAGGATTGCTCACTTTTGGTTGGGGCCGTTGGGAAGAGAGCATAGCGATTGGACTTTGGCGACGACGAGTCATGCCAAAAGATGTAGAGGACATCTCCAGGGTTGTGGTGAGTATTTCTGGGTTCTAAGTTGTCTGAGGTCTTTTGATTCAGCTATAGTATTCAGTGCTAGGAATGTTGTTTAATTTGTCTTGCAACTTTTGCAGCTCTTGTACTGTCTGCGGCACTACAAGGGTGATGAGAAGATCAAGGGCTTCATTTGGGATCTGATAGCACCTTCTGAAGATGGCGAGACTAGGATCCACAAAAATCACTCAGGTCAGTCATTGGGCCAATATTAAAAAAAAGTGTGTATTGTTTTCTTTGGAGCCCCCTCTTTTTGCAGTGTTTTAAAAAGTGTCCGATTTGAAATGTCTACGAAGGATTAGCCATTTTCTAAAAATATGTATGGGTGCCTGTGGCACTTATTTCTGGAGTATGTAGTGTATGGGGTCTCGATATGAGATTGCAGTGTGGAGTCTCGATATGAGATTGTCGCTCCCGGAACACACAGAGACAGCAGACACGGTTTGACCAAACCAAACAAACACATTTATTCAATTACTTTCTCATCAATGATATCGTCAGCCGAATCAAATATATTTCTAGTGATTAACATGCTAAATACTCTTATATAATACTCATATACACTCAAACATGAGAACAAACGCAAGGTAACGCGAAGGCGGTGCCTCCAATGCTCTACTCGCCACGAGGGGGCCCACGGGAAACTACCTGCGGCGGCGTCCTCATGGACCATGGGAGATGACTGTTCACGCCACCTTTCACATGCCAAAGAGCTGCTCATGTCTCATCTGCTCCCACCCAACCTCGCTGCCAGGCATCACTGCTGGCACTACCGTGCTAACCATGGCGATGATTACAATGGTGAACTCTCGCGAGCACTGCGCCACCTACTGTTCAGCAGCTGTTAACCCCTAATGTGTCCTATGTGCGAGTTACGTGTGCGCCACGAGGCAAAAATGACTTTACAGGGGTGATAGTGACTTTATAAGTGGTAAAGGCAATAATGGTAAAAGTGAGGAACTGAAAGTTCTCAGAATTTGTGCGGGAACTTTGAATTTGTTAAGCATGGCAGTTATGATGGATGTGAATAGATGTCCTTGGCACATAATCAATTGCAGAAGTATTTAGTTGATTGTAGTCTGTGCTGCCAAGATGCCAGCCTTTGTGCACCAGTTTACCAGTCAAATTGTGGTTTGAAGTGCTTATGGCTGGTGTTTTGGTGGTGTCTGCAGGTTCTAAATTGTAAAGAAGTTTTATTCCAGACATGTTCAGAAATGCAGCAAACTTTGCACTAACTCCCACAATGTTACTGTTGTTCGTTGCCATGTTAAAAGGAAAACACAACGTCCCACTGATGCACCTTCCTTTTGTTTGCGCAAAGGCAGTAAGTGGCACTTTATTTCTCTTTGAGAAATAAATTTCAGTATACTTTGGGACGTTACTGTTCCATAACCCTCTTTTTCTCTGTCAAGTGAGGCTTCATGTAATTCATGTCACTTATGCTCATCTTTCAGAGCCAAATTTAACATCCCTTATATAATTAACGGGAGCATCATTGTTTTCATAATCTAAAGACTCAGGGGTGGAAGTGCTGCGCCAATTGCGTCATGCTGTGCCAATCTGACCTGCTGCGCCAAGCCTTGCCTTAACGGCAATTCGCACGTGCAAAGCCAAATTTAGTTGAATGTTTTGTCATCGATCGACCAACACATGCGTGCTATACAAAGGATGCAACCGCGTCCATATAAATTTCCGAGTCCATATCAAACGTGTTATTTTGGATCATGCATGAATCTTTCGGCACATGAACACAATGAGCGATTCTTGTTAAGGTGGCGTTTGTGTGCATACCTCATTATGCGACATATACTGTATGTACTCTAATCTAGGCCGCCCTCGAATCTAGGCTCACGCAAGAAATTAGCAAGGCCAGAAAAAAAAAACTTTCCTCGAATGTTGGTCGAGCTTTTGACACACTGAGGTCCTTCGTCGCAGGCTGAATCCAGACCAATACATGAAGCGTGTTCTCCAGTCCGTAATGGCTTCAAAACAAGCTTGTGAGACACTTTTCGCGATGGCGATTTCTCTGGCCTCCGCCAGAATAATTTCAGTCGTCACGGGCATTCCCTCGTCCCTCTGTTCTCGAACAAAATCAACCGGTACCTTGAGATCGGCGCATTGAGGGCCGTAATGTCGCTAGCGTGGCCGGACCTTCAGGCAGGCGGCAGTGGCGGCCGAATCATGGTACTCGAATCTTAACCGACCCCCCCCCCCCCCCCCCCCCCCCCCCCCCCCCCACTTTCGCACATCGTTTTTTCGAAAAAAAAAAAAAAAAAAAAAAACATTGGCTTAGATTCGAGTATACACGCTTAGATTCGAGTATATACGGTATGTTTTAACGGAAAAGCTGTTAGGCAAACTATAAAAGCGACAGTAGTGTTGCAAAAAAACTCGCCGCACCGCAACCACCGAGCATAGCACGCGCTCTGTGGTTGCTCGGCAATGGTGCGGCAAGATTTTTGCCATATAAACTGAAAAAAAAAAAAAAAAAAAAAACAGTGTAATAAGCGAATGGATGACTGAAATAGCAATAATTTGTAATGTTTTAATGGTGATGCTGCATGCGCTCTTTTCTTTCTATTTTTGTTACCGCACTTTTACGCGTGTAACGGTGCCTTGCACAAACCGCGACTCAATGACTGGGGACTTCCGAGATAATGTTACAACCATCCCATGAGAGTATGCGCACAGCGAGTACATTACAGTACGTTCTGAAACTTACGAGGCCGCTAGCAATAACGCTGGAATCTTCAGTGGCACATGTACAAATGCCGATACACTTTGCTGCCTGGCAGATTATCAAATGCCCACGCTCTATGTTCGCTGCTATAAGTCTACAACGTGTATTGCTTGTAAGTGATGTTTTGTTTTCCGGGCACAGGTTCGCCCAAATAAAAAAGATCACTCATGCAAACAGCGGCTGCTGCCTTCATCGACATCACGACCCCAGGACAATACGTAGGCTGACAGCTAACTCTTTTGGATATGACATCACGACACTCACAACTATAAAACGCTGGTGTAAGAGAATAAGTACGTCCACTCCCGGAAGAAATGCTCTTAACGCACAATCTCGTCCCATTGAGAGCGCACGGTGTAGAACGGTACGAGCCGTGCACGGATGCTTGCCGATATTGCGCCCGCCTGCTATCGCAACTACGCCCTTGATTAGAATCAAAGTTCACAGCTGTTGCTCAAAGGACCCCCTTTCTCCCGCATCTTTTCATGCTTGGTCAAGACAGGCGGCGTGTTTCCTCTCGGCTTGAGCATTCAATGACAGTTCTAACACGCAGTGGGATGCAAACACGTGTGTAGAAAACAGATTGAAGATGGAGCTCGGAGGCGAGGAAGAAGAAGTAGCCAGGGGCACGCTCTGTTCATTTTTTTTTTTTCCTGTTTTGTCAACAATAAACCGAAGACGTATCGGTTCTGCGGTCTCTCTGGTCCTTCTGAAACATGGTGCCGTGACCAGGAGGATCTAAAGACAGGCGCACAGACTTCAACCCCATTCGCAACAACGGGTTGAAGAACGAAGCAGCGGCGTCTGGCTCAAGGACGAACCGTCGAGAGAAGGACCAAGACCGACGACTGTTGGCGACGCACATAAACAGGCAAGAGCTCTTTGAACACGTTTTAAGCATGAATAAAGAGGTCCTATCGAAGAAGTGGAAGACGCTTCGAGCAAATGTGACGACGCTTACGAGCGAAATCGATAAGAAGATAGAAGAAGACGCCGATCGAGCGCAACTTATGACGCTTCTGAACCAGATGAAGAGCGTGTCACAGACGTTAAGACAAGTTAACGAACAGATTGAACCGTTCATTGAAGAAGACGATGTGGAGGCGGAATTTGAAAGAGTTTTGCATTATGAGATGAAAATCGTCGCTGCAACGACAAAAATAGAGGAGCAATTACGCGAAATAGAACAAGCGACGCAACTGACTACGAGAATAGTCACAGAACAGGCGAGCTCAGTGCAAGGTACTAACCAAATCTTGGAGACGCAAGAGCTTGTTAAGTTGCCACGCCTTGAAATGATCAAGTTTGATGGAAAAAAAACAGCATGGCCAAGGTTTTGGCATCAGTTCGAGACATCGGTGCAAAATAGAGCGAACATGCCGAAGAATAAAAAATTTAATTACCTTCTGGTGTCTCTCAGCGGGGAGGCTGCGTTTCTCATAAAAGGTTTGCAGTTTTCTGATCAGAATTACGAGCATGCAGTCGCTCTTCTGAAAGAAACCTTCGGACGAGAAGATAATTTGAGAGAGACCTACATAAAAGAGCTTGCAAACTTGGAAGCAGTGAAGTGTCCTAAAGATGTAGATGGGTTGAAAAAACTCTTCCAAAAGTTGCAAGTGAACACACGAGCACTGCAGTCGTTAGGAGTGGAAATGGATAGTTATGCCACGGTGATAGCTCCTGTTGTAAAATCTGCGCTACCGGTGGATATGAGGATTGAGATGAAGATGAAGGAAATAGAGAAAGGTGACAACAGACCAGCAACTACGGAATCGAACTCAGCATCAAGAGACAGCACGAGCAGTTTGAAAGAAATTATGCAGTTTTTAAAGTTATATATACGCAGCAGAGAAGAAACTCGAGAGGAAAAATACAATGTGACCCGGTCACCGCACAGTATGAGGCGGACTAGAACATCTACGCTTCAAAGCATATCGATTAAAAAATGCATCTTCTGTGAGATGACTGGACACTACACGGAAGATTGCAGAAGAAGCATTAGTATGCAACAGAAGAAAGAAGCCTTGCAACGGGAACGAAGGTGCTTCAGATGCACCAGACCTCGCCACACGGCGAAGATATGCCGCGCTAACGTACGCTGCAAAACATGCAAGGGAAGGCATGCGACATCCATGTGTCGACCACGCACGCCTGCAGGAAAGTCAGCACAGCAGCAAAGCGGTAATGATGTTGAGCAAGTGCGTAAAAGCGCGCAACCTGACCGGTTAGACACCAGCAAGTCCTGCAACATGCACGTACAGCAATCTGGTGAACACAAGTGCATACTACTGCAGACAGCCTTTCCGTGGACAGAGGGACAAGACAGCGGGTGTTACTCACGTATTCTGCTCGACAATGGGAGCCAGAGGTCATTCATCCTCAAAAGATTGTCAAGAAAACTAGTGTGCAAGGTAAAAAGATCCGAAAGGATTACTGTAGGATTATTTGGAGG